GTGTAGCTCGTAGTCACGGTGAGCAGCTATGTGCAGCAGTACCCGAAGAGTGGTCGTCTTTGGGGTGGGAGAGAAGGTCTGAAAGTAGTCAACTCCCTGCCGGTGACTGAAGCCACGAGCCACGTAACGCGCCTTGAAGACAGGCGGAGAACCCGGCGGTCGCTTCACGCTGAAAATCCACATGCCACTGACGATGTTCGCCCCAGGAGGGGGAACAGCGTCAACGTAGGTGCCTGTGGACTTCCAGGAAGCCATCTCTGCGTCCATAGCTGCCTGCCACTGAGAGGAGTAGGGACTCTCTATCGCCTCCGCGTAAGAGCGCGGAGTCGGGATGTCAAGTGCATCCGGGTCTCCCTCAGGGGTAAGCAGTACGGACACGAGATGAGGTGAAGCAGCGGCCAAGCACTGGAACTCCTCCTGCCTGTCCTCAAGGACGTCCATGCCAAGGGCACACTCACCCCCAACGGATGGAGGACAGACAGACTCAGACTCAGCAACAAGACTGGCGGCGTAGTCTAGGCGACAGCGAGCAGCAAAGTCGACGAGCTCAGCAACTAGGGCAGACGCGGCAGTGGACTCAAAGGAAGGGTCAATGACAACAGTAGCAAGGAGACGCGTGACAGTAGGACTGGCAGCACGAAGAGAGTCCGACTCCGGGTCGGCAAGAGCAGGAAGAGAAGACTGAGGAGGAGAAGGCAAAGGCGCACGCAGAGGAGCAGTGGACGGACGCAGAGACATCCGTTGCGTGCCAGGGACACGAGGAGGACGCTGACGCGAACCGCGACCACTAGTGCGAGCAGCACGGACAGGCAACGCAGGGCGAGATGCAGGCTCACGACGCTCAGCAAGACCTCCAGTAGGACCAGTGTAGGGAGACGGAGCAGGAAGTGGGGAGGCCGGCTGTAACTGTAACTGCGACGGGACAGGCTGTGGACACTCTAAGGGAGGAGGAGGACCAGTAGAAGACGGGAGACCAAGAACCTGCTAAAGGAGCGGAACGAAGTACGGTCGAGGCCGCGCGGCGACTCCAGACACAGCACAGACAGCACCAATACCCCTAGTGGCAGCACCAGCACTAGTAGCAGCTCCAGCTCCAGTACCCCCAGCAGCACCAGTAGTACCCCCAGCAGGACCGCCTCCAGGACCGACAGCAGTGGCCTCTGCGCCAACACCCGCAGCACCTCCAGCCCCAGAAGTACCCGCAGGCCCAGTAGCTCCAGTACTCCCAGTACGAGCACCTCCGGGACCCGTGGCACCAGCTCCCTCAGCAGCAACAGAACCTCCAGTACCCGCAGCACCTCCAGCTCCAGCAGCTCGCCTCCTGCGCCAGGCAAACCACTCACGCAGCTCCTGTGTGGCTCCCGGCGAGAAGAAGCACCCGGAGAACCGCCAGGCACAGCACCTGCAGGCCCAGCTCCCTCAGGCTCCGCACCCCCAGGCTCAGCACCTCCAGGCGTAGCACCCCCAGGCTCAGCACCCCCAGGCTCAGAACCCCCAGGCGTAGCACCCCCAGGCTCAGCACCCCCAGACTCAGCACCCCTTGGCTCAGCACCCCCAGTCGTAGTACCCTCAGGCTCAGCACCCCCAGGCGTAGCACCCACACGCTCAGCACCCCCAAAGTCAGCACCCCCAAGCTCAGTACTCTCAGCAGCACCAGAGTCACGAGCGACCTTGACAGGCTCAACATCGTCTTCCTGGGACACACCTCAAGGGGCAGGACCCTGAGGGGGGAGGGGGTCTACCAGAGGGGGACCTGGTACAAGGAAGAGCGGTGGCGGGGGGAGGGACGGAGTGCGGTAGGGGAAGAGGCGGTAGTAGGGGACCGACTCATTGAACGTGACGTCCTGGGAGGAGAAAACACGACGAGAGGTGGGATGGTAGAACTGCCACCCTGGGGCGTCAAGGGGGAAACCCAGGAAAACGCAAGGAGCAGCACGAGGGGACAGCTTGTCCGCAGACAAGTCGCGGACAAACGCCCGAGATCCCCAGACAAGGAACGCAGACGCATCGCCAACCTTCCCCGTCCATAGCAAAGCTGGGGAGGTCTCCGACATGGAGACCCTGGGCTGAAGGTTGATCTGATGCGCCGCGTACCGAACCGCAAACGGCCACAGAAAATGGGGGGCAGCCGCATGCATCATGGACGTACGGGCGACGTCCATGACCATGCCAATGTGGCGCTCAGCAATCCCATTTTGCTGTGGAGAGTCCGGAAGCGTGAAGGTCTGGCGGATGCCTCGTGCATGACAGTAGGCTCTCAGAAGGTTAGAGGAGAACTCTCCGCCTCTGTCAGAGTGCAGACGCAGAACAGGAAAGCCCGAGTCGAAGCTCCGCCTGAGTTGGAGACGAGCTGCGGGGATCCAGTCGATCAACACCTCAGTGACATCACCCTTGCTGTGCAAGGGGAAGACTGTGGTGTAACGCGAGTACTCGTCAACCACCAGCAGGAAGTAGCGCTCGTGACTCTGTCCACGGACGCGGGCTAGGCCCCACACGTCCATGTGAAGCGTCTCCAACGGGGCCTCTGTCGGAGGAAACTGGGAGGAGTGAGGGGCAGCCCGCTGCCGCCCCTCGACAGAGGGGACGCAGGTAGGGCCAGGCCCTAGAGGAAGGGGAGGGAGGGACCGCGGAAGACCAGAGACAAGGACACGGGAGGCCATGCTTCGGAGACGAAGCAGGGAGGGGTGACCAAGGCGGTGGTGCCAGAGGAGAGTCTCGTGAGACAGGAGGCGACACGAGCAGGGGGCAGACTCAGGACCAGACCTGGACGCTGCAGCTAACACCTGACCCGACGCAGCTACCTGATCAGACGCAGGGACTGGAGGAGACTCAGTGGTCAGTGTGTACAGGCTCGACCCCGGCCGACGTGTAAACGTGGCCAAGTGTCGGCCTGTCCGAGCGTCCGTGCAGTGGGTCACCCGCAGACTCGCAGGAGTGAACTTGTGAACCCCCGCATCCTGTAGGTCAGCACCACTCACCAAGTTCGTAGAGAACGAGGGGAGGTAAAAACCAGACAGGGTGCTAGAGGGGGCCGCCGGACAAGGGAGGACAGTGGAGAAGTGAGCAATGACAAGACCCCCAGAGGGGTCTGCCAAGGAGACCGCAACTGGCCGACCAAGCGGCGTGAGTGTGGTGCGGTCTCGAAAGAAGGAGCGAGAAGCCCCCGAGTCAAGTGCGAAGGTGTGGGAGGCCGAAGCCGACGCAGTACCTGAGAGAGCAGACTCACCAGTACTGGAGGAAGCAGACGCACTAGCACCTAGAGCAGCAGCCTCGCTAGCACCAAGAGGAGCAGCCTCACCGGCACCTAGAGCAGCAGGCTCAATGCCCGGGCGGGGCGGGAAACACCGGTAACAGTCCCCCTCATCACTAATAGTCATAGCATACATGGCAGCAAGAATAGCATCAAAGTCAAGGTCAAAGATAGCTACCCCTGCCCTAGACAGCTCGCCCCAGCGAGGGATCTCAGTGGCCTCAGGGAACTGGTGACGCCAAGCGTCCGTCAGGCGGCCAAAGCAGCGCTGGGTGGGGTGCGCACCTCCACACTGCTCACCCGCACGGACGCCGGTGCGCAGGACGTAGGTGCACGGACCAGTACCCCCACCCCTCTGGCGTGCAGCGTACCACTCACGGAGCTGCTGAGGGGACACGGTCTCCCGACTGCGCTGCTGCTGCTGGCGCTGACCACCACCGGAGCCACTCCTCTGCGAAGAGCCACGACCTCCTCCTCCTCCTCCTCCTCCGCCACCGCCTCCTCCACCTCCGCCACCTTCACCACCTCCGCTCCCACCGCCACCGCCGCCGCCTCCGCCTCCACTGCCGCCACCGACACCTCCACCCCCGCCACCACCCCCACCGCCACCCCCACTCCCTCCGCCGCCTCCACCGCCGCCTCCATCGCCCTCGCTAGCTCCTCCAGCGCCCCTGCCCCCCTTGCCCCTGTCAGAGCGGCGTCTCCCAGTAGGGGTAGATGCCGCACCGACCGACTCAAGCCCAACGAGGTCGCCCACTGCAGCAGAGGCAACAGAGGGCAAAAGGGGGGAGGGGGAACACCCCTCAAAGTGGTGGGACAGACTGAGAGAAAGTGGTCCCTGACTACGCGAAGGGAGTCAGGGAGGCGGGTGACTATGTAGTAGAGAGTGATGTACATAGGGGGGGGGTTCTTGGCAAAATTATCCTGATAACATAGACCCTGGACGGGAATCAGGAGGATTGAATTCCTCGTTCGCTGGAAGGACCGCACGCCAACTGAAGATAGCTAGGTGCCCCTGGCCAACATTGAAAACCACCCTGCCCTGCAAGTGTAGTGTACCTGAGGAGCCGGGGATTCCGCGATATACATGCACTCGCGTAGCGGAGGGGGCTTCTTGAGGGGGGGGGGGGGGGGGGGGGGGGGGGGGGGTAGTGTAAGGAATTTTCTCGGCATTCCTTACGGAGCCCGACTACATCGCGTACAGCAACAGCCGTTGTTTGCCCGTTACTGCTAATGGGACTTCGCCAACTTCGCGCGCACTGTTTTGCCAAACCTCGCACTGCTGTCCCGGCCGTGTCGGCCTACGCTTCGGGACTAGCCCGAGCCTCGCTGCCAGCATAGCACTAGCTAGCTCGCACGCACCGCGTTACCGTTTGCATGTTTCGCGTATAAATGTTCGCTCATGCCTTCGCTCACATCTTTGTACTCGTTTGACACCTTAGTGCAATTCTCCCTACCGTACTTCGATTCATTGCACCCGTAACAAAAACACTCACTTATTAGTTCATAATTTTGCAATCAGCATTGACGCACATTTCATTTCCTCTTGCAGTGTGCGGTTTTGCCTGACTAACATATTATAAATAATAACTCTGATGCTATTCATATAAATGATTATTGTATGGTTTTCTTTTAGATTGCCGGTATGTCAAATTCTAAGCTCCGCAATCCTTAGACGATTTCGCCGACTCTTGTTTTTGGTAGCAGTTGCACCAGCTGCTGAATATTTACTCTTACGGCAGAAATTATATTACATGGAAGCATTGCACAGTCCCGAAGATTCGTCACAAAATCCATCTTTGGAAAGAAACTTCTTCGGGGCATCGCTCAATAAAGGGGATGATGGTGAGCCATATGCATTACCCCTGCGGTTACCGCATCCAAGGCTCCTCCGTGTGTCCATGCCTGTCACTGGGTTCTCCCCCTTGGCATACTTGCATAGGGCCTGCCATAGGAGGGGAAGGGAGCAGAGGAGTAGTGGAGTGGAAGGTGATAGATACAGCGTATGTGGGAGATTCCAGGGCCCAGAGTCACCACAACAACCGTGTGTCCATGCCTGTCACTGGGTTCTCCCCCTTGGCATTGCATAGGGCCTGTTGAAGGGTGGAGTAGGATTGGGTGGTGGTGGTGGGGGGGAGTGTTTAATAGGTGGGGATTGGGTAATGACGCTAAGTAGATCTGGTGATATTGCACGGTGCCTGCTGAAGCGGAAGGGGAAGGGTGGGAGTAGTGGGAGGTGTTACATACACACGGGGATTGCCAGGAACATAAAAACGAGCTGATGAACATGTTTGCGGGATTGCCAGGAGCATAAAAACAATGACATCGCTGAAGTCAGCGGCGCCGTCCATAAGGAGATATCTAGTCTACCCTCCTGCTCTCATCCCTCCCCCCCCTCCCCCCCCCCGTCCTTCCCCAGATGGAGACTCCACCAGACATACCTGTTTCTGCGGCAGGTCTAGAATGGCATCGCTGAAGTCAGCACCGTCCACAATGGCCCCTCCCAGGTCGGAGCGAGTGAGCACGACCCGCAGCAGCACCGCATCAGTCAGATTCGCCTCGTTCAACACCTGGTGGGCGTGGTGTGGGCGAGAGTATCCAGGAGAAGAGCATTGGTATCACTTGTAAGAGCCCCCTATGGTAACCACCGATGTCACTCGTGATCATTCCAACAGGTAACCACCCAAATGGTAACCACCCAAGAGAACTTCCAAAACCACCCTTTTTTTCGACAATGGTTCAGCCCTGCGTGCATTGTCCCATGCACGATAATCACCTTCCTTCTCTAGTCCACCCAACAATGCGCGAGTAGCAGGAAAGGACCTGAGGTGCCCGAAAGTTTTGCCCACATTCCGTGAGTTCCAGAGGGGTCACCGACTCACCATTCGGTCCATTAGCGCGTCTGTGAAGTCCGCTCCTGCATGGCCAAAGAGCGGGAGGTGGTTTAGGAAGGGAGGGCGGGGAGAAAGAAAGGGAAAAAGCATGACCGAAGGAACGACGATCAATCCAAATAGGGGAAGATTACGTTGACTGGAGACGTGCCAGACTTAATGCGTAGGCTGTAAACGGCTCATTGATAGAGTAATTTATTTTCGTTTTCGTTTCTCTCACCCTCGAAGTTGGTGCGGTACGCGACGGCCTTCTCGAGGTACCCCCCCGCGAACACGCTCCCGCTGAAGTCCGCCTCCCGCATGTCCGCCGACGTGAAATTGGCGCGGCGGAAGTTCTCGTTGCGGTGCACCGTTTTCCTGCGATGGCCGTGGGGAAGTGGGGGGGCCAAGGATGGGGAAGGGGAACGTTGAGCGGAGTGAGGGTGAGGAGAACGAAGGATACAGCACGAGCCCGGCGACGGAAGTTCTCGTTGCGGTGCACCGTTTTCCTGCGCCGCCGCGCGGGAGGGGGAGGGAGAATGGGGGAGGGCTTGGTGATGGAATCAGGTGGGGGTGGGGGCTTAGAAAAGATGCAATCTGAGCAATTTGTTAGTTCTATGTTATTTTTTAAGGTTGATATGAGGAGAACCAGCTAAATTCAATGGCTTTCCTTGGGGTGCGTATTCCCAGGGACAACACGCAGGGTACAACACGATTTCCACACTACTTCACGTATGGACCTGCCTGCGAGACGTGACGTTAGAGCAAAATATGTTTCTTACATTACGCGTTGCCACGTTAAAGTACGGCGATCAACAATGCCTCACCTCAGGTCCGCGGAGCCGTATTGCGCCACATTACGAAACGCACGGAGCCGCTTGACAGACGTACGCAGAGTTTGCAAGATCACGTCAAGGGGTGGTGATAACAGCTCACCTCAGGTCCGCGGAGCCGTATTGCGCGGCGGAGCCGATGCCGAACTCTCCGCGCGTCTCCGCTTCGAAGCGGTTCAGTGCCGCCTGCGCCGCGTCTGGCGGCAGCCCCACGGCGCCGAGCGCGAGAGAGCCCGCGATCGCCGCCGCCGCGAGCAGCTTCGCTCCTGATTTCGCGGCGTGTCCTGCCATCATACGCGATACAAGAAAACGCGACGTAAGAAGCAATGCGATGGAGGGATGTGCGAATCCAGGACTGAGGGTGCCTAGAGAGGGCAGACAGCCCTTATGATACATCACCGGCCGAGGAAACATTTCTAGTTATTTCAAGACAGGGTGTTATAGTTACAAAAAAGGACTGGTGCATTGCACTGTCGCAGTTGATCAATTCGGTCAACTCGGTCAACTCATTTCACGAATCACATAAAGGTGACACGTGGACGCACTTGGCCAGGACTCTCGCGATGGAGATTGCGAGTCTTGGCTGTCGGTCTGACTTGCACGAATCGCGAAAGCCGCGTTTCTTCTACGGACTGCTGGATTGGAGGACACGTGGCGTTTCAGCGATGACGACGAGAGCGCCTCCGATCCGAGCGTCGAGGCGACGCCGACGGATGCGCTGCAGGAGAGGCTCAGAGAGCTCACGGCAACGGCGGACGCGGCCATTGGTGGCGTAGAGTTGGCTAAGTTTGTGAGTAAGTGAGGCGAATACCATAGTGGCAATTGATCTAGGACTGATGAAGTGCGACCAGTCAACGAGTCGCGTCGCGATGCAAATGGGTTTGTGGGGAAACGTGGCCCGAGCCGCGCACGCCTGGATGGAAAATCACCCTTGATTGTCAGTCAACGCGGAGCAAAGGAGACCCTGGAAGCCTCATCTTGCCAGCGTGGACATGCTGATATGGCGAATGAGGAAACCGGCCACGAGAGCCACACCAGAAAATTGCAGTCCAGTGAGGAAGCGGGAAGCGAGCTTTCCACGGCATCCCACCGCCAACCTCGTAAGCGAAAGATTTGAACTCATACGGCTTATGATGCTGATCCGACGACAAGATACTAACCGTTTAGCAAAATTTTACGCAAATACAGATACTAGAATGGAATTATAGAACGTAAATCACGAATCATATCGAGGGAGACTTGAACGCAACCACATTCTACGACGCTGTTAGTTTCTCACTCGAAATTCACTGTAGCCCATCAGCAAACCCTGTACCGTGACTCCCGTCCAAATAGTTGCTGGCCATGCGGCCGACGCGGGGCTCTAGCCGGCTAGTCGTCTCCCTACTAACACTGCTCGCGATCGTTGTCGTTTGGTTTGCCTTCCTCAGCGGTCTCCTCTCCTCCTCCTCCTCCTCCTCCACCTCCTCCCCTTCCACCTCTCCGCCAAACGCGCGAAGTAGCTTCGGCACTGGCAGCCTCGATTCAGTCTCAGCGAACACGGCTGGCCCGGCGAACGCACCAAAAAATATATTCCAGGCGGAATTCCGCAATTCAGGGCGGTGGAGCGCACAGGGATCAGATTTGGTGAATCCGATTTTGGCGAATTCCTCGGGATCTCCTTTAGGAAAGGGTTTATTTCCCAGCGGAACTCTCGAAGGCGGGTTGCAACCTCTTTCCGTTGGGATCAGTGGCCAGAATGCCGCTGCTGACGTGGATGAGTTTGATTGGTCGAGAACGAGTCAGTCTCTGCCGTGCGATCTGGCAGATGCGCTCCAGTGGCAGCCGCATTTGCCGGCCGCGGCTCTGAGGCGCGCGGTGTCTTATAAAGGGGATATGCTGCGACTGGACATGTTCCTGTACAAGGTATAGCATGGGTGTGAGCGTACAAAGTGTGAGCACAGTGAGTGCGAGCATAGCATTTACCCCCACATCCTCCCTCATTCATCCCCCATCCTCTCCCATACCATACACCCCCCTCATCAACCCTCCTCTCCCCCACTGCAGCTGGTGGTGCAGCGGCTGGCAGTGACGGTGGCAGTGGTTGGCGGGCCAGTGACGTTCCTCTCTGCGGGGCACAGGGGGCCGCAGCCAGTGCTGTTCAACCAGGGGCTGTACGGGACCACGGGGGAGAGGAGGTGAGCGGGGGAGGGGAGTCAGGGAGAGTAGTGGGAGCAGGGAAGCTGGGAGGTAGGCATCATGGTGAGCGACAGGGGACCACGGGGACCACGGGGGAGAGGAGGTGAGCGACAGGGGAGGCTGTGGAATTAGGGGGGATCGGAAGAGCAGGGGGGTTAGGGGGAATACGGGCAGCAGGGGGGTTAGGGGGAATACGGGCAGCAGGGGGGTTAGGGGGAATACGGGCAGCAGGGGGGTTAGGGGGAATACGGGCAGCAGGGGGGTTAGGGGGAATACGGGCAGCAGGGGGGTTAGGGGGAATACGGGCAGCAGGGGGGTTAGGGGGAATACGGGCAGCAGGGGGGTTAGGGGGAATACGGGCAGCAGGGGGGTTAGGGGGAATACGGGCAGCAGGGGGGTTAGGGGGAATACGGGCAGCAGGGGGGTTAGGGGGAATACGGGCAGCAGGGGGGTTAGGGGGAATACGGGCAGCAGGGGGGTTAGGGGGAATACGGGCAGCAGGGGGGGGGGTTAGGGGGAATACGGGCAGCAGGGGTGTTAGGGATCATGAAACCAGTGGCCTTCCTCCCTGCGGATGACAGGGGGCCTTGAGATGACAGGGGGCCTTGAGATGACAGGGGGCCTTCCCTCCCCGCCACCTCTAGCATTCTACACCCTCTGCCCCTCCCCTTTCCCCCCCCATTACTCCCCCTCCCCACAGCCACTCTCCACCACAGGGCTGGCTTTCCGCCGCTCTGGACAATCTCATACGCGCCTTCCCCCCACGCCACCTCAAGCAGTGGCGCGCGCCCGGCCAATCAAAGAGTGCTGTGGTGGCGGAGCCCTATTGGCTCATCAACCTGGGCCTGCCTCATGGCAGCCTCGCCACGTGGGCGTCCTGTGATGGGTGAGTCAGCATTAAATTTTTGGGGCGTTGATTGTTGGGACTGTGTGTGTGTGTGTGTGTGTGTGTGTGTGTGTGTGTGTGTTTGTGTGTGTATGTGTGTGTGTGTGTATGTGCATGTGTGCGCAGTAAGAAACCTCCGTCCCATTACAGGAAGAAACCTCCTTCCCCCTCCCCCATCTGCCTCCTCAACCCCTGAACTCCCCCAATCTGTTTTTCCCTCCCCCGTCCGCCTTTTCCCTCCCCACTTCGCCTCCAACCCCTAATCTCCCCCAATCTCCTTTTGAGTCGACTCAAAAGCGCCTCCAACCCCTAATCTCCCCCAATCTCCTTCCACAGAGCCACCTTTCTGCAGTCCCTGCCTGGTGACGTGGACCTGGTCATCGCTGAGCTGGCGTTATCTGACCAGGGCGAGGCCAAGGGGCAGGGCGCGGGCTCCTTCCTGCAGATGTACGACTCTGTGCTGCAGCAGTTGCTGCTGCGCTGGGGGGGTGGGGCGCCTCAAAACCCTCCTCAGACGCGGCAGTGGCAGAAAGGGAGAGGAGGGCTGGAGGGAGTGAAGGCGGCAGCGGGGGCAGCGGTGGTTATGGTGAATTTCTTCTCCTTCTGCCGTGGCAACCAGGCATGCAGACAGCAAGAGGTACGTACACGCACAGTCTGAGATTCTCGCTCAGAGGTTTGTGGGGGTTGGGTATTTGATATTTGTGGGGTGGGAGCAAGAGGAAGGGGGGTTGGGGGGTGGCAGTATCGCACTTTATCCCCTCTGTCCCCCCGCTTGGCGCCAAACCCAGTGTCATAGGACAATATAACACGGTTTCCCACTCTTTTTAGGTGCCGCAATATTCTCTCTACTTGTTTGTTGGGGCCCTCAGAAGTTGCCGTTTTTTACCACCCACTGAGCGCAAGAGGCTGTGTCAGAGAACAAAATCACACAGTGCTCTGACATAGGCCTCCCAGTGCTCTCCACCCAAAACATTTTCCTCACCCTATCCATTCTGCCGTCTCTGCGCAGCCTCCCCTCATGCGCGGGCAATGGGGGAGGCACTCCACCCTCTCCTCATTCGGAAACCCTCTGTCTCCTCCGATGTGGGCCCATTCTCTTTCGGCCTTCCGCCCCACCACCCCGCCTACCCCCACCGGGAGGCAGGAACTGGTTCACAGGACATTGGGACTCAGCCTTCCCACGTGTCCCCCTCCCTATTTTCCTCTATCTCCCTATTTTCCTGTATCTCCCTATTTTCCTGTATCTCCCTATTTTCCTGTATCTCCCTATTTTCCTGTATCTCCCTATTTTCCTGTATCTCCCTATTTTCCTGTATCTCCCCTTCACAATTTCCCCACCGTGCAGGACCCCTCTCTCTCCTTCGCTGACGTGGGTCCGTTCTCCTTCGGCCTGCCTCCCCACCACCCCGCCTACCCCCACCGGGCGCCAGAGGTGGTGTCAGAGGACAATATAACGGTGCTCGCTCAGTACTATAGCCTCCCTGTGCTCTCCACAAGGGACGCCTTCTTTACCCTCCTGGGTCACCAGGTCAGTGGTCCACCCACTACTCGACCAGGTCAGTGGTCCACCCACTACTCGACCACCCCACCAACCAACCACCTACCAATACCCCTCAGTGCTTGCTCATTACTATTCCCTCCAGGGCTACCCACCCAAGATGCCTTGTGCACGCTCTAACGAATTTCTTTAAACCTGTGCCCTCTCTGTCCCCTGTCCCCTGTGCCCCCTGCATCCCACGCTCCAGGCACCGGGTTATCGGTTGAAAGACGTGGTCACCACAGGCCCCTCCAGCCTTCCACTGCACGTGGAGCCTGACACCCTTGCCTCCGCCATTCCTCCTGCTGCTGCTGTAGCTGACGGTGCTGGCGATTTCGATGGCACTCTCCCCGTTGACTCCATTGACCCGCATGCCTTGTCTGGAGTCTTACCCACGGCACTGCAAGCGAAGACCAAGTACGCGGACGTCATCACTGCTCTCTTCCACTCCGCACTCAAAGGCAAGTCGGCCTGCTCTCAGCATCTATCAATCATGGCTTTTGAGTAGGACTTAAAAGTCACCACACTCAATGACAAGTCAACGCGCCTCGTGGAAGGTTGAACAAATCCACTTTGATAACTTCGTCACGGGGATGTAGCTCAGATGGTAGAGCGCTCGCTTAGCATGCGAGAGGTATGGGGATCGATACCCCACTTCTCCAGAAGTCTGATTGATTTTGGTTCTCTCACCTCACCCAGTCCCCTTCAGTCCCCTCCACACCCCACAGGCCTGATTAAGCGGCTGACAAAAATCCACCCTCCTGCCCTCCCTGCTGCGCCCCCCGCCACCCTTCGTCTCCTGCTGGATCCACACCACTGCCGCCTCCGGCTTCCACCCCCTCTCCCATTGATCTCCCCGATCATCTCCCCTTCACACGCACAGGTCTCATCGACTGGCTTGCAGAGATTCATGAGGACAATGCCACTCTCTCCCCCTCCTGTCGCCCCTGTTTCCAACCTCCTAACACTCTGTGTGACCTCTCCTCCACGCCCACAGGTCTCATGGACCGACTGAGAGAGATCCATGAGGACAATGCCACTCTCTCCTCCTCCTGTCGCCCCCGTTTCCAACCTCCTAACACTCTGTGTGACCTCTCCTCCACGCCCACAGGTCTCATGGACCGACTGACAGAGATCCATGAGGACAATGCCACTCTCTCCTCCTCCTGTCTCCCACCGCCCTTCTTCTCCCGCTGGATCCACTCCACTGCTGCTTCCGCCTTACAACCTCTGGCCTCTCTCAATAACCTCCCCAATCACCTCTCCCATTGACCTCCCTTCTCAACCACAGGTCTAATTGACCGGCTAGAAGAGATCAACGCAGACAACGACACGCACTCCCTCCTGCCCTTTCTGCTGCGCCCCCCACCGCCCTTCTTCGCCCGCTGGCTCCACTCTACTGCCGCCTCTGCCTTCCTCCGCCCTGCCCTCCCCCATGCCTGCTTCTCCTTCCGTCCCGGTGCCGTCGCCCCGCCTGTGCTGGGCCTCCAAGGCTTCATTCTGCAGAGCATTGGGCTGGAGCACGGGACGAAGGGAAGGGGTCGACCAGGACTGGTGGCTCTGGACGATGGTGAGTGGTGCAGGGCGGTGGTGCAGGGCGGTGGTGAGTGGCAAGGAGGCGAGGGTTTCAGAGTGGAAGGGGTTGCGCGCGTTGAAAGGAACTTGCGGCTCCACTGCACTCTCTGAATCGCTTTAAGCTGACTCGCTTCATGTCGAATTCTGTTCGTGAAAAACAGTCACCAGTCGTTCTACTTCCTCTTTCCTCTCCGTGGCAGATTCATGGGTGGAGTTTGTAATCAACACAGCCATCCCCCTTACAACAAGTTCCGGTACAAGCAACTTGCAGCCCATCCAGCTCACGACAATCCCGACCGTTGTTGAAATTTCCTACCTCGCGCATGCAAATGGGTCGTCTATATTCGGCAAGCTACAGTGCGTGGAGGGTTGCAAGTGTACCGGCGTGGTGGTAACTGCACTCAGCGCATCACCCGTCCCTTTGAAAGAGTCGCGGTTACTGCTGGTGTCACGGAACCATGCATGTGTGATGAGAGTGCAGGGCAGCAGAGGGTTTCATGTGTTGGGGGTTACTGTGCATTCTGTGATGCAGCAGCAGCAGGACCAGCAAACCCATGCCATGCGGCAAATCATGTAACAATCTCGTATGTAAAATCATTCCCCAGGTCTACGGCACCTGATAAGTTTCTTCCGGTGATGGGGTCCATCAAATCTATGGGAATATAACAATTCTTATGCACATTAGTACACCAATCATGGCACCGGTACTTGTGTGCAGCACATCCTATGATTACTGGCTCATGAATGCAGAGTCTCATTTCGAGTCGACTCAAAAATTGATATCCCTCTGAAGTTGTAGAGGTAAAGCACACTGTATAATCAGTGTGCCAATTAATGGTGCATACCTGGTAGCCCTCTCATTTCTCCACCCATGTCGGCAGGTGCGAAACAAGCGAGGGCACTGAAGGTGTCCTAACAGTTGCCACCAGTCACCCAGTCACCCAGTCACCCTGTCACAACCAGTCACAACCAGTCACAACCAGTCACAACCAGTCACAACCAGTCACAACCAGTCACAACCAGTCACAACCAGTCACAACCAGTCACAACCAGTCGCCACCAGTCGCAACCAGTCGCCACCAGTCGCCACCGGTCGCCACCGGTCGCCACCAGTCGCCACCAGTCGCCACCAGTCGCTACCAGTCGCCACCAGTCGCCACCAGTCGCCACCAGTCGCCACCGGTCGCCACCAGTCGCCACCAGTCAATTAAGTTGATGCAGCAGTCGTTTCTGCCTTCCCACCTAAACCCTTGCTGCGAGCTCTACCGTAGGTAGCTGCATCTTCTGCCACCGCTGGCAACGCTTGTGTTGGTGCTGCTGCTGCTACTGCTGCTGCTGCTGCTGCTGGTGCTGGTGATGCTGCTGTTCCTGCTGCTGCTGCTGCTGCTGCCGTTCCAGCAGGTTCCGCTGCTGCTGGCCCGGCTGTCCCAGCAGAACGAGATCCAGTCACCTTTTCCTCTGGTGGGTGAGGAGCAAGTGGCGTGAGCAGCAGATTCACCTCCCCAGCGGGTCGCAGGGTGATCATAGCGCGGGGCACGGGAGGGGGAGAGCCCGCGGGGAGAGAGAGCGAGTAGGACTGGAGAATGCGGGCGAGGACGAGGGAGGCTTCGAGCAGCGCGAAGCCCATGCCAATGCAGTTCCTGGGACCCCCTCCGAACGGCCAGTAGGCGGGGTTGTCAGCTGGTGGAAGGGCGTCTCCCCCTGGTAGCCAGCGCGATGGGTCAAAGGTGAGAGCTCTGGGGGGAGGGACGGGAGGGGGAACGAAAGGAAGGAAAGACGAGAGGAGTAAGGGGCAGGGGAGGGGGAGTGAGAAGGGAGAAGGACTGGAGAATGCGGGCGAGGACGAGGGAGGCTTCGAGCAACGCGAAGCCCATGCCAATGCAGTTCCTGGGACCCCCTCCGAACGGCCAGTAGGCGGGGTTGTCAGCTGGGGGAGGGCGTCCCCTCCTGGTAACCAGCGAGATGGGTCAAAGGTGAGAGCTCTGGGCGGGGGGGGGGAAGGGAGGGGGAAAGAAAGGGGGGAAAGACGAGAGGAGTAAGGGGCAGGGGAGGGGGAGTGAGAAGGGAGAAGGACTGGAGAATGTGGGCACTCCCTTCTCACTCCATTGGCATGGGCACAAGGGAGGCTTCGAGCAACGCAAAGCCCATGCCAATGCAGTTCCTGGGATTTCCTCCGAACGGCCAGTAGGCGGGGTTGTCAGCTGGGGGAAGAGCGTCCCCTTGCCCATGGGTAGCGAAATGATTCAAAGACGAGGGCTCTGGGGGGAGGGGAAGGAAAACGAAAGGGGGGAAAGGGGGAGGAAAAGGGAAGGGTGGGAAGGGGGGAGAAGAGAAGGATGGAGGCAGGTACGGTCTCACAAGCACTGTGATGCCTTGAGGCACACGCCACTCCCTGCCCTCCCACGTGCACAGCAGATCAGCCCACGCCCCACCCCTCCCCGCCTCTCACCCGGGCCAGTGCTGAGGGTCGCGGTGCAGCAGGTATGGCCTGACGAGCACAGTGGTGCCCTGAGGCAACTTTTGAGACGTCTCAAAAGCAGGTATGGGCTCACAAGCACCGAGGTGCCCTGAGGCACACATATCCCACACCCCTCCCTGCCTCTCACCCGGGCCAGTGCTGAGGGTCGCAATGCAGCAGGTATGGCCTGACGAGCACAGTGGTGCCCTGAGGCACACGCCACTCCCCATCCCAGTCCTCCCAGTTCATGCGCTGTGCACGCATGTACACCAAGTGGTTCCAGCGTCTCCTCCTCATCTCACCTGGGCCAGTGCCGTGGGTCGCAGTGCAGCAGGTATGGGCTCACACACACCATGGTGCCCTGAGGCACACGCCATCCCCCCCCACCCCTCCCCCCGTTCCCAAGAACATGTTTTCCCACAGCATTTTCTCCACGCCTCACCGCCCCTCACTGCTCCACACCGCTCCTCACTCCACACCGCTCCTCACTCCACACCGCTCCTCTTTGCTTCTCTCACCTGGGCCACTGTTGTGGGTCGCGGTGCAGCAGGTACGGGCTGACAAGCACCGTGGTGCCGTGGGGCACGCGCCACTCCCCCAGGCGCGTGTCTCGGCATGCACAGCGCCCCACAATGTATGCAGGCGGCATCAGCCGCAGCGTCTCCTGTATCACTGCCTCCAGGTACCTGTCAGGATAGTGTGGGGAGACGGATGGGATGGCGGGGGGAGGATATAACGGTTGACATTAACCGCAGCGTCTCCTGTATTACTGCCTTTAGGTACCTGTGACGATTGTGGGAGACAGATGGGTTGTGGGATGTGATGGTGGGGGGAGGGCGGTAAGGTGGGGCGAGAGCCACTCCCCCAGGCGCGTGTCTCGGCACACACAGCGCCCCACGATGTACGCCGGTGGCATCGACCGGAGCGTTTCTTAAAATCACTGCCTCTAAGTACCTGCCATGATTTTGGGAGGTAGATGTGATCGTGGGGAGCAGTTTTTGAGAATTCTCAAAAACCGCTCACAAGGGCGGTAAGGTGGGTTAAGGGTGACACACCCCCAGGCGCGTGTCTCGGCACACACAGCGCCCCACGATGTACGCCGGTGGCGTCAGCTCCAGTGTCTCCTGTATCACTGCCTCCAGGTACCTGTGACGATGGCAGGGGAAGGACAATGAGAGGCATCAGACTTAGTGTTGCCTGTATCACCCTCCCTTCCCTCCCCTCGCACTCGAGCTTGAGAAAGTCAGCACAAGAATAGCTCTTCCTGCTCAGCACCATCTCTTCCCCTCTCTTCCCACTCACTCACTTGAGCTTGGGAACGTCAGCGTGAGTGGGGCTCTGCCCTCCCAGCACCTCCCACACCTCCTCTGCTGCCCGCCTCTGCTCCTCCGGATGCATCGCCAGCTGCACACACACCCACGCCAGCAGGATGGCCGATGTCTCCTGGCCCTGGGGAAATGGGAAGATTGAGAAACAGAGACAGAAAAGCGGAAATGGAAAGAGAGGGGGCCGGTGCGAGAGTCAGGAGCGACGTTTTGGATACCTAGAGAAAAAAGAGAGTTTTTTTTTTCGGACTTGGAGAGAGATGGACGAAATGGTGAAGCAGGAAACCTTGTCGATACGAAGAGCTGTGTTTTTAGAATTCTCGGAACGCACATCTAGGATGACAGGAAACCTTTTGAAGGATATATACGGGGTGAAAAACGATGAGAAAAGTTCACCAGTTGCCAGATTAGTCTGAACTGAACTGAAATATCGACAGCAATAACGTGATCGAGCTGTACTACAATACAAACCACCAAACCGCAGTGTAACGCATCGTACCGCAACCAGCAGAGTCATGAGCTCGTCTCTGAGTGACTGGTCGTCCATTCCCGAGCCGTCCTCATCCCGCGCCTGGTGAGAGTGGGCACAAGTGAGAGCAGGAAATGAGGGTGCAGTTACTTAGTCTCTGAGTGATTAGTCGTCCATTCCCCCGAGCCGTCCTCATCCCGAGCCTGGTTAGATGGGAGGCAGGCAGGTATGTGAGTGCAAGAAAACGGGTCGACCTGCACTAATGTTTGCTCGCATAGAGGCTTTTTTTCAGCAGCAGCAGCAACAGCAGAAGCAAGGGAGGGGTGAATGGTGGTCTCACCAGCAGCAATCTTGTGAGCAGGTCCTTCCCCTCATCGCCTCCTCCCTGTGCAGTCCCCCGTGTGGCAGCCCACCCTGCCATCTCCTTCCTCCTCTCCTCTATTAGCCGATACACCACCCCGTCCAGGCGCTGCACTGCTGCCGTGTACTGGAGATTGTCGAGGGTAGGGAACCACTCGGGGACTGCACAAACATGCACATGGGAAGGAGCGAGAGATAGGGAGTTGGTACAACAGCACCCCGTACAGGCGCTGCACTGCTGCCGTGTACTGGAGGTTGTCGGGAGTGGGGAACCACTCGGGGACTGCATGTATACACGCACCCAAGAGAAGCGGTGGCATGAAGAGATGGCGGAGGGAGGGAGGGAGGTAGGGAGGGAGGGAGGGAGGGAGGGAGGGAGGGAGGGAGGGAGGGAGGGAGGGAGGGAGGGAGGGAGGGAGGGAGGGAGGGAGGGAGGGAGGGAGGGAGTGAGGGAGGGAGGGAGGGAGGTAGTGAAGGAGGGAGGGAGGGAGGGCGGAAGGGAGGGAGGGAGGGATGTGCTTAACTGATTAGCATGCTGGTGGTTCGATTGGCGAGTAACTCAAAGGGAGGAGATGGTCGAGGAGGGGGTGTGTGTTAAGTGGTGTTGGGCAAGATGTCAGGAAGGGACTCCACTCAACTGATGAGCATGCTGGTGGCGCGCTTGGCGAAGAAATCAAACGCCATGGAGATGGGAGAGGGAGTGGGGTGTGTGATCCGAGCTGTGGAGCATTGTTGGGGGTGCATGATGAGCACTCAACTGATGAGCATGCTGGTGGCACGCTTGGCAAAGAAGTCAAAGGCCGTGGAGATGGCTGGTCCCACCTGCTCCACCGCTGCTCCCCCCAGCCCGCCCCCGCCAAACAGCGCCGCCACCACGATTTTCATGGTCAGCTCGTTGAAGTCCCCATACACGTCCCTCACCACACCACCTTGCACCACCCCATCCCTCCCTCCTCGTCCTCCTCGTCCTACTAGGCTATCCGTCCACGTGCCTCCCACCATGTCATCAGCCAACTCCGCCATGGCCTGACGAGAGAGAGAGCGAGAGAGAGAGAGAGAGAGAGAGAGAGAGAGAGAGAGAGAGAGAGAGAGAGAGAGAGAGAGAGAGAGTAGAGCGCAGATGAAGGAAAGAACTGAAGATACAAACACAAGTCCTCGCCCTACTGGGCTACCCCCCCACGTGCCCCCCCCCCCACCATGTCATCAGCCAGCTCCGCCATGGCCTGTGAATGAGAACATAAGAGAGAAAACCGAGGGCCAAAAGCATAAGCAAAGGTGAGGAGAGGCAGAACGAGAATCGAAAGTAAGGAGCTTGATCGGCAGTGGCCCCTCGTTGACTCTGCCGCCCACCATGTCATCAGCCAACTCCGCCATGGCCTGTGCCAGGGAGAAAACCGAAAATTAAGCAAAGGTGAGGAGAGGCAGAACGAGAATCGAATGTAAGGAGCTTGATTGCCAGTGGCCCCTCGTTGACTCTGGGCGCATTTGAACAGGAGGTGATGTTGCCTTCTTCACACGCAGCCAATACGAGTCCTGGTACCAATTTTAAAGCTTGTGAAAAAAACAAGAAACACCGCTTTCTTAATAGATAGACAAGGGTTTATGAACCCCAACCCAACTCACAATCTGAAAAAAAAAAGAAACACACGTCAAGCCCAACCCACTCTCAAACCCAACCCACCGTGGCATATGATTGAATGGCGGCCTTTCTGAATGCAGCGTTGGACAGCCAGCGCTGCCTCTTCCACACCCCTCCATCGCTCACTAGAAGACCCTCTCCTCCCCACCTCCGTGCCTTATATGAGTCAATCCAAGCCCAACCCACCGTGGCATATGATTGAATGGCGGCCTTTCTGAAGGCAGCGTTGGACAGCCGGCGTTGCCTCTTCCACACCTCCCCATCGCTCACCAGCAGCCCGTTCCCCGTCAAGCTGCTGCCGGGGAAAAATGCTGTGCCCGCCTGTTGAGAGGGAGACGAGTGAGTGTGAAGATAAACAGGCGTATGGATACACAGTAAACAGTAGTTTCTGCTACTGCGCATCAATGGTCAGAGCAGCCACTGCTTGATGTAGAGCTCTTTTTGAGACGTCTCAAAGATGTAGAGCTCTCAGCAGCTTCTGAAGGACTGAGAGAACTTTTGAGTCGACTCAGAATTCAACTCAGAGCAGCCGCTGCTTGATGTAGAGCTCTCAGCAGCTTCTGAAGGACAGAGAGAGAGCAGTGAGGGACACAGACGGATGGCTAGGGATGGGAAAGCAGATGTGCACGCAGCCTTGCATGCAGGTACACTTGATGGGATAAGCAGTTATTCACAAGGATAAGCACAAGCACGTGCACACCTTGATAAAAACGTCAGACTGCGTGACCAACACCTCCCGTGCTAATTCACTGCCATGACAGGGTTTGGGGAGGAGGGGAGGAAGTGCAGAAGGGGGAAGAGGGGGGGAAATGGGAGAGGGGACGAGAGAGGGGGAGCAGTGTGTACAGAAGTACGAAAAAAGGCCTGGGGAATGCATGTGAAGAGGCATTGGTTGGCAGCTGCAATAAAAGAGACCAGAGTCGTAATGACAGGGAGGATGGGTAATAAGGAGGACAGACGACCAAAGACACTTGAAAATCAGACAAACAGAAAAACGAAACGTTTTTTCATAACACGCACGGGTTGCTTATAACGAGTACGGGCTCTCCCACCGATCTGACAGTGGCAATGCCGCCTGGATAGTCCCTGGCCACGTCATCCAGGAAGGCGAGTGGATCTGACGCCAGCCTGACTGCTGAGTCATCAGAAGGTCCAGGTGGCAGCCCCGGAGGCGACGGTTGGATAAGCTTCTGGACACGTGTCACTGCATCCCCAAAGCTGCTGCTGACGCTGGCAAGGAGTTTTGCCTGAGAGAGGAGGTAAAATTGATTAGCAAACAAGAGATTCTGAAAAGGAACAAGGAAAGCAACTGTTGCTGCTGATGCTGCTGCTCAGGGAGGGGGTGATACGTCAGATTTCCAGGACTACCGGCGTAAATAACACCTGGAACAATCAGACTCACCTGCGACTGTGCGACGGCACCAGCAAGCGCCGCTATCGGCTCTGCAATCGAGCTTGAAACAGTCTGGAAGCTCACCTGCGACTGTGCAACAGCACCCGCAAGCGCCGCGATCAGCTCCGCTTCCGGCACTGAAAGCTGCGGACCAGGGAACGGCGGTAACCATGGCGCATTTCGCGGCAATCGCGAAACCTTTTGATCATTTCCTAGTTTAGAACCGTCCCGAGGTAAAACTCCAAAAGAGCGTGACGTCACCGTGTCGCGAGCGGACTTCCCTCCCAATGAGTTCCGTTCAGGCCGTGTTCCAGCGTTTTGCTGCTCCCGAAGCTGATTACTAGAACTCGCGCGATCTGAAGAGTCTGATCGTGCCGCCGCGGTGACGTCACGCGACCGTTCTGGATACGCAGCCAGCGGCTTATGAAGTGCATGCGAGCCGCCGAATAGAGGGTGATTGGCCAGGAATTGACGGGTGCTGGTCGAAGTTTGAAACTGAAGTATCGATCCACAATCTAGGGAGCCTGTGAACGCGATACGACAGCGCGGGTGTGTGTGCGAGGCTTGTTTCAATGGCCGGTTGCTGGCATTGGAGAGTGCAAGGCGACCAGTGGCGTGAGATTGACGAGAGAATGTGCAAACGGACACTGTAGGTGCCTCCATGGCGCGAAGCCGTGGACGAAAGAAGCTACGCTGACGGCAGCGGTCCGTGATTCATATGATCAGCTTGGAGTTAACTCGCGTTCGTGGTTCAGGGCATCATGATGGAAACTGTCTTTGCATGTACACGTCCTTCGACGAGCAGTCTAGACAAAACGCAGTCGGTTCCTTCAAGAACCAAATTCGGCGTCCTTAGAATCTGCAGCACAAGCAACAGGCGAAACAGGAACAACTGAAACAAGACAAGCAGGAGGGCAGCAATGGTGGCCTCGTGAGCGTAGCGCGCGCCGAAACCGAGGGGCCAGATGACGGAATTCTCGAGGTTCACCCGATTACCATCATACGGTCCCGATTCACGCTCTGCTCGCAGGTTCATGCTCCGATTCGTCGATCAATGTCCTCATGAAAGCGCAAATTCTGGCGGCTCAGTGCCACTGGGCACCCTGAAATGTGGGCGACTGGCAATTTTTGTAATAAATGTGACTGACTTTTTAATGCTAATAACAATGACACAGAATTGGCTAATAAGCTCCCTGTACTATCAGCAAAATAGATTCTCCTGTGCGCATTCCCCGGCCCAGAACCCAAATAAAATGCACAAATCACCTATTCTCCACAAACTTCACAAAACTCGTCCAAGGTAGCTTCTAGTGCGGCTTTGTCAAAGTCACCGGTGAAAACACAGTCGCCCAATGAACCCTTCAGCAGAATAAGACGCAGCTGGCCGTCCGCTACCTTCTTATCCACCTGCCATATTGGAAGCAAAAACACCAGTATGTATAAGTGTACAGAGTGAAATGTAAATAAGTAGGAGGTGGGCGGAGAGAGGGTGGGCTGGGCAGTCGGGCAAAACAAAATCTTGGAACACATATATCCTTGTGCCTATCAGGCAAACGAGTGTTATCCACTCACCATGAGGCTTCTCAGCTCCTTGGTGACCGCAGGCGAGGGCGGATGCTTGCTCAGAACAACACACATACCGCAATCGGGCTTCAGAACTTTGCCTTGTTGACAGCAGGCGGCGGCGGCGGCGGTGTGAGGAATATCTACCTCCTCTTATCCCACCACAAACATCCCTTTTGTTTGCTTAGGACAACCAAGCCCTTCCTCCCTTCAATCCTCTCCTCACCCTCACGCACGTACCACCATGAGGCTTCTGAACTGCTCCTTAGTGACAGCAATCGGGGAGAAAATGAGGAATGTCTGTTCACTCACTACTTGCACAGCCCCCTTCCTCCCTCTCCTCTTACCCCTCACACACGCACGTACCGCCATGAGGCTTCTAAACTGCTCCTTGGTGACAGCAGACGGGGGCCGCGTGGGCAGCCGGGCCTTCTTGATGATAGCAGTGATGCGATCCCTCAGAGCCAAGTCGATCCACCCCATGCGGTGCGACATGTGTGCTGCCATCACCGTGCCTGCTGCCACCGCCTCCCCATGCAGCCACTCGCCATATCCTAATCCGTTCTCTATGGCCTGAAAAAGTGGGTGAGTGAGGAAGAGAGGGAGAGGCAGTAAGACGAGCAAGTCACTACTCAGCTTTTGAGTCGACTCAAAAGCAGCTTTTGAGCCGACTAAAAAACTATCCTAAATCGTTCTCTATGGACTGGAAGCATGGATGAGTGAGGAAGAGATGGAGAGGCTGTGAGATGAGCGAGTCACCACTCAGTGCAGCCCAGTTCGCGCTCAAGGGGAGAGGGAGAGAAGAGGGAGATGGTACAGGGCAGGAGTTGGCCATGAAACCCTCACCATAGCCCAGCCAATGGCATCCCATCCCAGCCCAGTTAAATGTATGCTGAACAATGCAAAAAGGAGGAGTGGACATGGATAACGTACATGGCCGAAGGTGTGGCCAAGGTTGAGAGTGGCTCTGAGGCCGCCCTCTTTCTCATCAGCCGCCACCACTGCTGCCTTGTTCTCACACGACCGCTTGATCGCAAATGCCAGTGCTGCCGGGTCCCTGCCATGTAATCACATAAGGCCGCACATGCATGGTCAGACGGCCGAAAGCCGCAGACGGGCAGACAGCTTGAAACGGGGCCACATGGGTCCACATAGGTTCCAAAAATAGATGGCCAGATGGCCCTCAGCTGAAGGGGTGAAAGCATTTTGAGCTACGAGCTCGTCTCACCCTGAAGCATGCATACGGAAATGCGAGTACGATCTAAAAGGGAAAAGGGCGAATGTGATGCTGACTATTGGGGTTTCAGAAATCTCGTGTGTGGAATAAGTTTTTCACTGCTGACCCGCATATGCTTCGCAGCTCACTTAAAGAACAGAGTTTCATCATGCACCCATGGCCGAATCAAGGCATGTAGCAAAAACTAAAGCTTGAAAAAAAGGACGGAGCAGCATTCAGTGAGGAACAGAAGACAAAATTAGAGAATACGCGTTCAGCGTGTTGGGGTGTCAGAAATCTCGTGTGTGGAATGCAACTGTTCACCACTGCTCTGAAAAGAACAGTTCTCGCTGAACAAGTCATCATCATCCACCCCACCTGAAGTCCACACACACACACTTCATTTCTTCCGCAACATCCTCTCCCCCTTTCCCCTTCATCCTCGCCCGCCCATGGTCAGCAAAAACTCACAAATTCAACTAAAAAAATCACATGAAAAAATCCCCCCCAAAGAAACGAACTTTGTGAAACCCAATCTGTCAAACAACCTCGGCGCCCCATTCTCTCTCCACTCGCTAGCAGCCGGCCCAAGTTCTCCTCCTGCCACTCAAAGAACTCCGCGTCTCAGATGAAACGCCAGCCCCGAAGAGAACTCCTCCTGCTACCACCTCCCAGTGAAACGTGGCATGCTTCATTCCTCTCTCTCACCTCGCCAGCAGCCGGTCCATGTTCTCCTCCTGCTACCTCCTCCCTGTAAAACCCCTCAAGCCACGTAGATATGCATTTTCTTCTCTCACCTCGCCAACAGCCGGTCCATGTTCTCCTCCTGCCACTCGAAGAACTTGGCGTCTCGGATGAGCCCGTACTTTATCACCTCCGCGGCAGGCCCAACTCCAGCATCTCTTCTACCTCCTCCCTGCGGAACCCCTGAAGCTACCTGGAACACGTTTCCATCCTATCTCACCTCGCCAACAGCCGGTCCATGTTCTCCTCCTGCCACTCGAAGAACTCCGCGTCGCGAATGAGCCCGTACTTAATCACCTCCGCCAGGCCCGACGCGAGCTCCCTGTTGGGGAGCGACGCGAGCGTGTCGGTGTCGATCAGCACGCACTGCGGCTGGTAGAACGCGCCTATCATGTTCTTGCCCAACCGGTGGTTGACACCTGTCTTGCCCCCCACCGACGAGTCCACCTGGACATAAGCACAGGAGAGAAACGAGAGAAGAGAAAAGAGAAAAGAATAAACGCATGAAAACGGGTCTGGGTGAATGAGAGAGAGCGAGGAAGGGTTCAAGGCGAATGGACTACGGTAAGCAAGGGAGACGGACGGGAGGGGAGATGGACAGAAGGGGAACGGCAGACGAACAATACGTAACGATATAGAAAGCTTCAATGAGACGAAGGGGGAAGAGAGAGAGAATAGGAGCTTCTTGGGCGGAGGAAGGGAGCATACCTGAGACATGACGGTGGTGGGAATCTGGATGAAATTGACGCCTCGTAGGTACGAGGCCGCGGCGAAGCCAGTCATGTCGCCGACGACGCCTCCCCCAAGAGCCACGAAGGTGCAACGCCGGTCCATGCGGGTCTCCAGGGCTCGGTCGAATATCAGATTGAGGGTTTCCTGTGCGCGGAAGCAGCATGATGCGTTTCAAACCACGTTGACACATGGGGAACAAGATTAGGATAAACGGCTTGCAGAAAACTACACTTCAAGCAGATTAAAAAACGGAATGATTCTAAACGGCGCAATGCTGAAGAAAGACGAGAAAATCACAAGAGAGATCCACAAACCCAGGAAACAACCTACCAGGTCTTTGAACTGCTCGCCGTCCGGCAGCACGACGCTGCGAACCTCCAATTGGGGGTTGCCATGTGTCAGCGCCAAAATAGTCCGCTCCAGGAACAGCGGCGCGATGCTTTCATTGGTCACCACCAGCACACGCCGGCCCTTGACGTGCCTGAAATCACGGAACGAGAACGTACCAAGGACGGATTATAAAGAAAACATAAATAGTATGCAATAATCATTAGTAAACGAAGGCAACAGGAGATGAGAAACTAAAGAAAAGTAACACTTCGCATTGTCGGGCATACTGGGGCGAATAAACAAACGGTTCAAGTCCACACGCGTAGAAAGAATTTCCACCGTCCATCATCTTACCTGCACAACAAATCTCCGCGGTCCAGAATTCCCGCGCCAATGTAAATCGGGTAACTCCGATCTCCCAAATCTACATCCACGACCGTCAGTCCCCGCTCTGCTGACCCACCACTCTCCCTCGCCGCATTCCCCGCCGTCACTCCCGCCGTTTCTCCCGCTAAAGGAGCTGCTGCAGCGACAACCTGCGAATCCAGGTGTCTAGCATAGACCGGCGTAGCTAATCTCAACCGCCTAACCGATCGGATAGATGATTTAGCGGCTCCAAGGCACCGGTTTGGTTGGCTTGCAAAGGACGTGCTGGAAAGGGAATCAGAAACGGGAGGAGCAGTGCTTGGTCGGTGGTGAGAGGAGGATGGGGCGAAGGGAGTTGTTGCGACACAGCCAAAGCCAATGGCTAGCTCCGAGGCGAGCATTTTGAGTTCCTTGAGTTCCTCTAACGTGACAATGGCTTCGCTGTTCTGGAGAAAACAAATAATAAATAAAGGACTTCCCTTTTCTGCAGCGCAGGTTGATCAACCGCCTGGGGGGGAATATCGAGGGCTGGCGGAGCAGAAGCGCCAGCTGCTTTCTGCAACGGGGCCTTTTTTCTGGCCACGTTGGCGCGAAGCTGGTGGCGGAGGTTGGCTTTGGGAAAGATAGAGTGGACCACGTGGCACGGCACGGGCTGACATGCTTTTGTCACTCCTAACTTGGAGTTTGCATTCAGGTGTAGCGAAACTTAAACAGGTGCGTTTTGAAAATCGTAACCGGAAACTGGAGTCACCCTGAAACGCGAATACGTTGAGGCTTTGACCAGTTTCTTTCTTTTGTCGCCTTGATTCCAGCATTCAAAGTGGATTTGATCAAATGCTCCATAGCCAGTTGGTCTAGATTCTGGCCGCATCATTTAGTTGATCCGCATGCAGCGCACTAATCATGCATGATCGAGGAGAGCGCATCACGGACCATATTCGGCGTAGCCATGCAGCGCGATGGAAGGCTCTCACATGAGTTAAATAAAAAGGCCGCTGACTAAAAGTGTCGGCCCACCCAGGAAAGCTCACAGCGTACTGCATTCAGGCGATCTGCTCCGCTTCTCCTGCACCGACACAAGCAGGCTACGGGACTTAGGCCGTCCGTTGACGAGGTGTCGAACCGATGCTTGTTAGAGCAGTAAGAGCCGATAGAGCGGTGTCAGTGGGATGATTTAGGAAGGCCAGCCCCGCTGCTGCTCGACGCGACGAAACGGGAGACGAGGGGCCCGAGAGGCGACACGCTAGAGGCGATACGAGAGACGCGGGGGGCGGGAATCGAGAGGTGATAGGCGAGGCGCGAGGCGCGAGGCGCGAGGGCCATGGGGGTGCCGCTACTACTCGATGTGCTCCGCAAGCCAGCAACCACGCTCGTCGTCGCGCTCTGCTCCTTCATCTGGTTCCAGATCCAGAAACGCGCTATAAGCTACCCCGACGTGGGGATAAGCTACGACGCAGTCGTCTCGCACCGCCAGTTCTGGCGGCTCGCGTCCGCGCCGCTCTCGCACATCTCCCTCCTGCACCTCCTCTTCAACGTCTCCGCGCTCTGGAGCATGGGCGGGATCGAAACCCTAACCTCCGCTGACATCAGCAAGGTTGCCGTTATGGCCACTGGTGGTGCTGCTGGCAATGCGACGTCCAGCCAATGGCAGTCCGCCGTCTCTTCTGTGCCGCTAGCTCCTTCCTCTCCCTCCTCTCTCCCTTCCTCTTCCTTCCCATCCTCCTCCCAGCCTTCCTCCTCTCTGGCTCAAAGCATTCCGCACTCTTCCATTTCTGGCAGCCTTACTGGTCCGAGCAACTCCAGCACAGAACCCTCTGAGCCTGTAGAATCTACTGCTACTGCTGCCGTGGCGAGAAGAGGATTGGGAGAAATTGCCAACGCAGGTTCGATTCAGGGGCAGCAGCAGCAGAATTCAGCGGACGAGAGTGATCGGAAGCAGCAGCAGCAACAGCAGGGTGACAAAGCAGGGTTGCCGACAAACGAGCAGCATCTGGCAGCGGCAGGATGGGAGCCAGGAGGGTCCATCGGGTACCTAGGAGACTCTTTTCTCATGCTGGTGCTGTCAGGGCTGCTGGGTCTAGCCGTGTACCACGTGCTCATCCACAGGTGGCGCCTGGAGTATTTCCGAAGAGTGACAGCAGTGGGGTACTCGTGTGTGGTGTTTGGGTGGATGACGGTGCTGTCTGTGCGCCGCCCCGCCATCACGCTCTCGGTTTTTGGCCTCATCAAGCTGCCCGTGTCGCTGGCCCCGTTTGAATCTCTCATCTTCACGTCCTTCATCGTGCCGAAGGTGTGAATATCTTCCGTCCATCTGACGTTCTCTTGCTTCCCCACATAGTCCTCCTCGCCTCGTTCCACCTTGTCTCCCCTTTGCACCGTTCCTGAGAACAAGCGTAGTCGTCAGTATTTATCTCTCTCACATTCTTGTCCATCTGTGAATGGCAGGCAAGCTTCGTGGGTCATCTTGCAGGCATCATTGCTGGCTATCTTCTTGCCTGGGGAGCCCTGAAGGTCCGTACACTGTACACTGTCTGCAATGTTGTTTTCAAGTCAGTACAACCTTGTGGCAGTTGCTGATTACCACCTCTCTGCTTTTGTTTCCATATCTGCAGGGATTTGATACGTATTGGACACTTGTTTTGGCATCGTGGTTTGCAATTCTCTGTGTCATTAGCTTGAAGAATTCATCACCAGTTGACTGCTCCTTTTTGCAGATAGAGCCGGTTGTGCCCGAACTTACAGAAGCACTAGCCACGTCTGGGCAGGTCCCTTTTTTGCTTCCTCCACCACAACTTCCCTCGGCACGAGGTGACAGTATCGTGTAAATAAAATGAATTGTATTGGAAAGGATGCGTCATTGTGTGCAGCATGCTACTGAAGGCTCCTGAAACGTGGTGCCGAACGGGTGGTTAGTTGAAATGCATACCTCACTTTGTTAAATTTTACATCACATGATTAACACATAGCATGTAAAATGTACAAAATGTGAGCTCGTGTAGGTCTCGTGTCTTGAGGGAGTGTGTCAATAACGGATACGTACCGTGTCCCGTGGTGAGGTTGATCACAATAGACGACACGACTTGTCGTGCCGTCGACGATAACAAACTGGGGCCTGTCGCTACGCCAGAGATAGCGATCCTAGAAGCAGCAGTCTAGAAGTAGAGATCCTAGAACCAGAGATCGACCATCGATCCTAGGACACATTTTCCTGTTTCCGTCCAAATTCGTTCCGTTTGTTCCTGCTGGCGCAGGACTACGTACGCCTTCTTAGATTCTTCTGGTCCTCATCTAAATACTTCCGAACCTCACCGTACTTAAGGTCCAATCCGAGCGTCAAAAGAATTCGTCAGGATGCGTCGGGGTTCGCTTTCTGCCTTGCCAGTTCCTCCGTCGCATCTCGTTTCGTTGCTAGACCGTGGATTTTCATGGATCGGAGTGAATCCAACCGTTGTACGAGCTCTGTCAGCATCAGCAGTATCACCGATAGCTACAGTGACGACAGCAGCAACAGCCGAAACGGCAGACGCGCGGGTTAGACCAGCAACAGCGGCAACAGCAGCAGCAGCAGCGACAGCAACCACAGCAACGACAGGGCCGGGGATATGGCTCCTAGCCAGGTCCACGTCAGCGCAATCATTGCCAGTTAGATCCGATCCAAGCCGATCGGAGTTGGAACTTGTTGGGAGTTGCAGTGCGGATTTTCCTCACCTCTCCTCTCACCGCGATGCTCTGTTCGCCTCTCCTCTCGTTGCGACACGACCTCTAAATGAGGCGGGTTACCGGGAAACCAGGATAGTCTTAAGCGAAAGAGCACGGACGTGCATTATAAACAGTTCCGTGAGCATCGGATCGCGGTCCATCGCTACTAATACCACCGGGTCGTCCATTCTCCTGTCCGGTTTGTCAGCTTCCGCGTCAAATGACACGTCGGATGCCACGTCAGATCCATCCCTCCCGCCAATCAAGCCGTACGACGCTCTGTTTCGCGATCCTCCGAAGCCTCTAGGCGTGGGACCCAATCCCAAGGTGGTATCTACACCCAAGGGAGGAGTATACGGCGCGGTGCTGGGCGTTCTAGGGTACTATTCCAAGGAGAGTGAGTTAATCCGCGGCGCGAACGCGCTCTACAAGGCGGTGACACGTCAGGCTGACGACGAGATGTTCTTAAGAGGTGGGCGGTGGTTATGCCACCTGGTTATCCTGATTCTCCAAATCAATGATTAAGTAAGCTCGTTTTTTAAATTCCAACCGCCTAATACTCACCTACTCCAAACTTCCTTTCCATCTTCTCCGTTTTCCCCTTCCCCACCCCCCACCCCTCCCTCGCCCTCCCCCCGCAGCGCTCGGCCTCCCCTCGCAGTTCCGCACGCACCACGCGCTGCTCGTGCTGCACACGTGGCTGGCGCTCCTGCGCCTGCGCAAGGAGGGCGCGCAGGGGGCGGCGGTGGGGCAGACGTTTTACGACACGTTCAACCACGACGTGGAGCGGCGCGTGGTGGCGGCGGGGGTGAAAATGCTCGTCAGCAAGTGGATGCGCGAGCTTGAGAGAAGCTTCTATGGCGCTGCTGCTGCGTATGATGCGGCAGTGGCGCCTGGCGCTAGCGCTGACGCCCTCCCCAAGGCGCTCTGGCGGTGAGTCCTACGCTTTTCAGGTGAGGCTCAGGAACTGGATTTTTCGAAAGGAGAGGCGCGCAGGGGGCCCAGGGGGGGGCAGGGGGCGCAGGGGGCAGCGGTGGGCAGATGTGGGGTGTGGCGGACAGTGGGGGCGGCGGTGGGACAGACGTTGTACGACACGTTCAACCACGACGTGGAGCGGCGCGTGGTGGCGGCGGGGGTGAAGCTGCTCGTCAGCAAGTGGATGCGCGAGCTTGAGAGGAGCTTTTACGGAGCGGCTGCGGCCTATGATGCTGCAGTGGGGCCTGGTGGCAGCGCTGACGCCCTCCCCAAGGCGCTCTGGCGGTGGGTGCTACGCTTTTCAGGAGGGTCTCAGGAAGTTCTGCTGTGGTGGTGAGTGGTACGCTTTTCAGTGGATGCGGGGGTGAAGCTGCTGGTCAGCAGCAAGTGGATGCGTGAGCTCGAGTGGAACTTCTACGGCGCGGCTGCTGCTTCTGATGCGGCTGTTGTTGTTCCTGGAGCCAGTGCTGATGCTCTCCCCAAGGCCCTCTGGGTGACTTTTGAGTCGACTCAAAAGTCACCTCGGCTGCTGCTTCTGATGCGGCTGTTGTTGTTCCTGGAGCCAGTGCTGATGCTCTCCCCAAGGCCCTCTGGGTGACTTTTGAGTCGACTCAAAAGTCACCTCGGCTGCTGCTTCTGATGCGGCTGTTGTTGTTCCTGGAGCCAGTGCTGATGCTCTCCCCAAGGCCCTCTGGGTGACTTTTGAGTCGACTCAAAAGTCACCTCGGCTGCTGCTTCTGATGCGGCTGTTGTTGTTCCTGGAGCCAGTGCTGATGCTCTCCCCAAGGCCCTCTGGGTGACTTTTGAGTCGACTCAAAAGTCACCTCGGCTGCTGCTTCTGATGCGGCTCTTGTTGTTCCTGGAGCCAGTGCTGATGCTCTCCCCAAGGCCCTCTGGCGGTAAGTGTGACAGACTGTTGGCGGGGAGGAGACGAATCCCCATCAGGAGGGCACACTCTTTTGACGGATCCGCGTCTTAAAAGGCCTTTAAACAGAACACCGTCCCCACCCTCTTTCTTCCGCTCGGCTATTTCACCCCTCATGTATTGCCTTGCCATGCAGCAATGTGATTGGTGAAATCCAGCAATCTTTCCCCCTCTGACACTCTTTCCACAACCCCTCACTTTCACCTCCCCTCTCGGTTTCACCCCTCATGAACTGCTACATCTGTTTTTATAGAATTCTCAGTCTGTTTTTTTTAGAATTCTCAGTCTGTTTATTTAAGAATTCTCAGTCTGTTCTTTTAGAATTCTCAGTCCGATTTTTAGAATCCTCAGTCTGTTTTTTTAGAATTCTCAGTCTGTTTTTTTAGAATTTTCAGTCTGTTTTTTTTTTTATTCTCAGTCTTTTTCTTAGAATTCTCTGTCTGTTATTTGAGAATTCTCTGTCTGTTTTTTGAGAATTCTCAGTCTGTTTCTTTAGAATTCTCAGTCTGTTTTTTTAGAATTCTCAGTCTTTTTTTTTAGAATTCTCATTCTGTTTTTGAGAACTCTCAGTCTGTTTTTTTAGTATTCGCAATCTGTTTTTTGAGAATTCTCAGTCTGTTTTTATAGTTCTCAGTCTGTTTTTTGAGAATTCTCAGTCTGTTTTTTTAGAATTCTCAGTCTGTTTTTTTAGAATTTTCAGTCTGTTTTTAAAGAATTCTCAGTCTGTTTTTTTTAGAATTCTCAGTCTGTTTTTTTAGAATTCTCAAGCAACAACCTCCCGGTTTCACCCCTCATGAACTGCTACGCAGGAATGCGTTTGCAGAGGACCCGTCTGACATGCCCTCCTGCCCTGCAGCTTCATGAAAACGTGTTTTTTTTTTTGCCTTTTTAAGCCCTCGTGGCTGTGCAGCAATGTGTTTGCAGAGGGCGCGTCTGACATGCCCTCTGGCCCTGCAGCTTCATGAGGCCTCTGTTTTGTTTTCAGGCCCTTTAAAGCCCGTGCTTTCTTTTCCCTGCTCGGCCTCTCCCCTCTTCAACTACCGTGCAGCAATGTGTTTGCAGAGGACGCCTCTGACATGCCCTCTGGCCCTGCAGCTGCTCCCGTGCAGGTGAGTGAGAGGGGTGGTTGGTGGTCGAGTCATGTAAGATAGGTTTGAGGTTGCTAGCAGGTGAGCGACTGGTGGTGCTGTGCAGGTGAGAGGTTGGTGGTGCTGTGCAGGTGAGAGGTTGGTGGTGCTGTGCAGGTGAGAGGTTGGTGGTGCTGTGCAGGTGAGAGGTTGGTGGTGCTGTGCAGGTGAGGGGTTGGTGGTGCTGTGCAGGTGAGAGGTTGTTGGTGCGGTGCAGGCGAGGGGTTGGTGCTGTTGTGCAGTTTAGGGACTGGTGCTGCTGTGCTTCCACACCAAACCCAACTCACTCTACCCCCACCTTCACCATCCCGAAGCATAGCATCGCCAACCTAATTCCTCTCTCCATCCATATTTTTCCTCTCTTTGGAGTTGGTAGTTCGTAACCCCCTCGCACCCATCTCTTCCTGCTTCTTGGGAATTCTCAAAAACTAACCCCCTCGCACCCATCTCTTCCTGCTTCTTGGGAATTCTCAAAAACTAACCCCCTCGCACCCATCTCTTCCTGCTTCTTGAGAATTCTAAAAAACTAACCCCCTCGCACCCGTCTCTTCCTGCTTCTTGAGAATTCTCAAAAACTAACCCCCTCGCACCCGTCTCTTCCTGGTTCTCCCTGGTTACCACCTGCAGGCCTTGACACGTTACGTGCGGCTTGAGCTCGCCTCCCTTGCACTCACAGGTGATGTGATCTGTGATGGATGTGGTGCGGAGTGAAGTGATGTGAGCTGAGGTGAGGTGAGGTGAGGTGAGGTGAGGTGAGGTGAGGTGAGGTGAGGTGAGGTGAGGTGAGGCCTAGCCTCAGCAGGCCTCTTGTGTGGTCAAACGCCTTTCACTCCCACTTGTATGCTGTGCGCGACATAAGGAGAGGTTTGAGTCAACTCCAACTGGTGTGCTGTGCGTGCCATGCTGGTTTTGCTGATTTTCTGGAATGCTGGCTGCCTGGCTGCCTGGCTGGCTGGCTGGCTGCCTGGCTGGCTGGCTGGCTGGTGATCAGCTTGCGGTATCGATTGCTTTTTGTGTTAATCTCTCAATTCGAGTTGCTGTTTAATCTGTTTTGCACTCTGTGTTTCCCTTTATTTTTCCTGTTTCCCTTTATTTTTTCTGTTTCCCTTTATTTTTTCTGTTCCCCTTTATTTTTTCTGTTTCCCTTTATTTTTTCTGTTTCCCTTTATTTTTTCTGTTTCCTGTTCATTCTCTGTTTTTTCAGACTCTGAGGCCATTCTCACGGGGAACATCATCTTCACCAATACATTTCAATCAGAGTCCTTGTGAATTCTGTGCAACAGCAATCATAGGTCCCTAACACTTCACACGGTACACTTATGTGTAATATGCAGCGTTTACTAAGAAAAGTGGCAAGTCTTTGCATTGCAAGCCATTAACAGACTCCAGACATAAAAGACTTCAAAGCAACCTGTGGATAACCTTTCCTAACACCTGTGTAAAAGGCTTCACAACCCCCACTGGTTTCGCTTCTCTAACTCCCACATGCTCCATCCATTCCACTATCCCCTCACCTCACCATCCTCATGGATTGCCCCTTCACCTTCACATGCAGCCACCACTCTCACTCTCTCTCGCTCGCACCCACTTCTACTCCAGCTGCCTTCATGCCTCTCTCCTGTACCACTCCCCCTCCACTTTCTCAAAGCCCCCGTCAGCCCCCCAGTAGGCAGTAATCCGCTTCACCTCGCCCTCTCCCACCAGCCCAGCGCCCACCACCCATGACACAGAGAGCACAAATGGCCTCCCTGCCACCAGCTGTAGCGAGCGAGGGGCGCACACCACCACCTGCTGGGGCAGAGAAACCACCGCATACTGCTCCTCGTCTCCTTGAGGCACCCGGCCCATAAACCCTGCTGCCGCCGCTGCTGCTGTGTCGGCAGCAGCGGTAGTGCCGTTCGGGTTCCACTCCTCTGCCCAGGACACGTTTTCTCGCTCCTGAACCATCAGGTTGCGGGTCAGAACAGTGCGGGTCCCCACCACTGTCTTGTCATCTAGTGCCGGAACGGGCGGCAGGTGGTCGGGCAGATGGGACGAGAGGCAGCCCTGGCCCCACGCGGGCGGGACCCAGTCTGCCGGGCGGTGTTCGTTGTTGTCTAGTGTCTCTTCTACCGCGACTGAGGTTCGCAAGGCTCCATCTACCTGGTACTGAATGCTGCAGGCGAGACGGGTGGTGGTCGCTGTAGAGATACGAGAAGTGGGGATTGAGGGGTTGGAAAGGGCGCATAGGGGGGGAACAATTTTCTGTAGGCTCCATCTGAATCTCCATCTGACGTTCCCTGTAGGCTCCATCTGAATCTCCTTCTGCCTGGTACTGTATGCTGCAGGCGAGACGGGTCGTGGTCGCTGGAAGGAGTTGAGTAGGTGGGGAGGGGAGGGGTCGCATAGGAAGAAACTTCTGACGTTTTGGAAACCCCATAGCTAGTTACTGACTGAATGGGAATAGGTCTGATTCAACAAGATTAGGGTGGACTGGACTGGCTTACTGTGAGCGAAAAACAACTCGATGAAAAAAGGCAGCTGCATACCCCCCGCCCCGTCCGCCACCTCGATAAGTCCCCAGATGGCGTCTGCGTGTGGACAGCAATCCACTCGAAGAAAACAGTAGGTTTGCCTGACCGACTCACTGTGAGCGAAGAAGAACTCGATGAAAAAAGGCAGCATCATCCCGCCCGCCCCGTCCGCCACCTCAATAGGCCCCCAGATGGCGTCCGCCTGCCGACTCACGGCGTATCGGCGCGATTTGCTGGCCACCACGTGGCAGAACCCGTCTGGCAGGCTGTGCTGTGCGAGTGACATGTCCCATTGCACGCCCACCTTGGGCATGTATGCAGGCGCCTCGCCCTGAAAGTCGTACCAATCGTTCTGACAGGGGAGTGGGGGATGGTAGGGGAGGGAGCGTACTGAGACGCCCAAAAGCTGGGCTGTGCTGTGCGAGTGACATGTCCCATTGGACGCCTACCTTGGGCATATACGAAGGCGCCTCGCCCTAAAAGTCGTACCGATCGTTCTAATTGGGAGGGGGAGGAGAGAAAAATGAAGGGGAAGAAAAGAAGACATGGGAGAGAGTGAGGGTGACTTATGAGTCGACTTATGCTGGAAGGTTAAGAGGGTGGGAGGGTCAGGTGGAGAGGAGGGCGCAGAAGGAAATGACACGATGGGAAATTGCATGGTCAAAACTTCAGCATTGACAAGCTCACCACGTGGGCGTGGAGCATTGACAAGCTCACCACGTGGGCGTGGAGCATTGACAAGCTCACCACGTGGGCGTGGAGCATTGACAAGCTCACCACGTGGGCGTGGAGCGTTGACAAGCTCACCACGTGGGCGTGGAGCATTGACAAGCTCACCACGTGGGCGTGGAGCATTGACAAGCTCACCATGTGGGCGTGGAGCATTGACAAGCTCACCACGTGGGCGTGGAGCATTGGCAAGCTCACCACGTGGGCGAAGCTGCTGCGATCAGGTGACGTGGCCCACAGCTTCCGCACGGATTTCATGGATCGATTCTCGTCCGTTGATTCGAGCGGCTTCCACGATCTCCATTGGCCATGCCAGTTACCCATCATGAATTCCGGCGTGCCCCACCACCAGTGCTCCTCGGGAGTCATCTGGCGGAATGGCGCCGCTTCTCCGCCTACCCCGCCGCCTGATGCGGGGACAGTGGCAGAGCCCATGGCGGCTGATGAAGCGGCAGAGGCTGACGTGGACGCGATGATGTGTGATTGGAGGGAGAACGTGATTGGTCGGGGAGACGATGCGCGATGTTTGCATGCACCTGAGGTATCATGTGGGAGGGACATGGGGAGACAAGAGGGAGGGAAGGCACAGACAGAACGCGGACGAGCGGAGCACGTCCCCGACAGTGTTCAGGCGGGACTTGCTGAGTGGAGATTCACGAATAAAAAAATATCGCTGACCCGTGCTTACATACTTGCAGCGGACAAGGAAGAAGAGCAGGAATTTGAAATTTGACGCAAATCAGGAAACAGCCTGGCCAATAGCTGCAATGCACCGCGGCACGGTTTTTGAGACGTCTCAAAACTCACCGCACGTTGCGGCTGGGAAATGACGGACATAGAAAGACCAGCACAATTCAAATTGTACCTGTCAGGATCGCATTCGTCGCAACTGGCCGCCCCGCAAACTCTGATAACGAGCGAATTGAACGAGAAGCCGCAACGCCGCGGAAGGCGCTCTCAGAAATGCTGCCGCTACTTATAGCCATGGCAGTCGAGGCGGCAAACGACATGGCTATATGAGGAACGGCAGCAGGCGGCGGCTGTGAGACGATGAGAGTGTGCTAGTCGAGATTAGTGCAACCAAATTATTGATTAATCGTCGTCATCCCTGGTAGGTTCAAGCGAGGCTGTGTGTTGCCGATGGATGAAGTTACCTGGGATTCTAGATTAGGATAGCGCTGACGTGGCGCGACGTCGTTTGCTGTGAAGCTTTCCCCTACGCCCGGCAGTCGGACCACACCATACTGCCGCTCAAGATTTCCAGAGAAATTTGTGGGAAATGCGCTGCGCAGACACGACAATTCCTCTTGACTTCAATTTGCACTGCGAAGTTGTACGGCAAATGATTTTGTAACTTTCATGTTACAGTAAATGCAAAACCATCTTCATTGAAATCCTCCCTTATTTCTGAAATATACGTGGTGCTAAAGAGCATGTGTTAATTTGAAACATAAGAATTCAAAACCAAAAAATGTTGGAATAAAGTGAATTTGTGGCAGAAACTCGAAATTCCAGTTTACACTCGTCAGTGGGGTTGAGGGTTTTATTGTTTGCCTCAAGGTTTTGCCACAAAGTTTCAAGTTCCTAAGGATTCTGAACCTCAGCTTTTCAAATGTATACTGAAGCTATACCGCGCTTAGGGTGCTGGCTCTTTCCGCATGCTTATAGACGGTTTCTAGGACGTCGATTCAGCCAGCGCTCTCTCATCCTGACCACAGATCCTTCACCCAAAATGTCACCAACAGACGTTTCATTACCAGTTGCAGGAGGTGGGAGCTGAGGCGATTGGACGATAAGCATTAGCTCGAAACGAAGTGGCGAATCCAGTCCTTGGGATCGCCGCTGCCTCTTCACTTTTCGCAACGGCCACGCCCACCCACGCATGGCCACGACCCACAACACTTTCACGCCCCACCACCACGCAGCCCATCCCAGACACAGGACCACAAGTCACGAAGCACAGAGAGCCCTGTAACCCTAAGCACAACACAAAGCCCAAGGCCGAAACATGTGTGGGGTTTGATTTCGCTGCTATGGAGAGAAATTCGTGAACACTGAAGATGCGTCCAAAATCAGCTGTCGTCCTCCAATCATCCTCTCCACGAACTCCAAACTACGTCGTTACACATTTCGTTCTTTATTCCCAGCCCAGCAGAGTACACATCGCATCGCAGCGCCTTAGCAGCAGTTGTGACCCGGCCACGTGTTAGTTGTCCTCCCGCTTCCCCAGTAGTCGTTAATCGCCACACCCACAACCAGTCGCCAGCCATATTTCGGACCCTTTCTTCTCCCTAATCGCCCTGCCCTCTTGTTCATTGCACGCCTCTTGCCGAGTCCTTGACTTCGAAATCTAGACCAGTTTCTGGGCCTCATGTAGGAGCCGCGTCGCGACAACGAGGATGGCTGGTTCCGGTCTCATCCGTTTCCTGCGAAATCGTTTCTGTGGCCCCCTTTTTCTTTTAACTCTTCCTGTCCAGCTTCCTTCTTGCCTTCCCTTCACACGGGTGGATGGATTTGGCTTTGAAGTTCTACAATGTACAGTTTACCTGCTCTTACATCCAATGTAGCTCAATCTTTGCTGGGAACAGCTGCACTGTGCAGTGTTAGCGGTGATTGAGCTCATCAGGCAAACAGCCTCACAGGAACTATTAGTAACAGTTCAGCCTTTTCACCAAGAGCGTTCGGATCTTCGCAAAGTTCCTTCGGTATTCGGGAAATCCAAACACTTTGTTCTCTTCGTGAAGACTGTCGCTAAAAAATAACGACTCAACCACCCACTTGGCCAGACCCCGTGTGTCGAAGTACGATTGCCGTTTCAAGCTTGTCGCATTCTCCGCCCATCCGCCGAGGACGGCGGTTCCCGAATTTCGTATCGTCGCACCTCCGTCGTAAAAGTTCGCCAGAACCGCCGGCTCGCAATGGGTCACTGTTTTTCGTCCGTCAACGACGACGACGGCTGTCGCGCTTCAGCGCGCGAGCGACGCCGAGAGTCACGGAGGAAGGGCGAGTCGCTGCAGAGTGGCTGTCTTTCAGGTGTGCGAGGGAGCATGGTGGTGGGTGGCGGTGCATGACAGAGTGTGCGCGGTGGGTGCGGGGTGGGTATGCGGTGCGTAGGCGCTGTGTGCGCGGTGCGCGTATATCGATCTGGAATTAGAGGTACTACTACCCCGCCCAGCATCCGGTGCGGGAGGATTTGCTAGAAGCGAGTCATCATGGCGTGATGGCACCGATTCCAACCGATGATGTAAACTCGAATTTTACCCCTTCCAACCTTTGCAGGGCTGCCGGGCGACGCGGCGAGCAGCAAGGAGATGGAGCGCCGCGTGGCGGCTTATCTGGCGGCGGAGCAGCAGCGGGACGGCCAGCTGGCACAGCTGACCAATCGCGGAACGGCGAATGGGTTCGTGCCACGTGTGCCGCGTGCCACATCGGGCACGGAATCTACAAGCAGCGAAAACATCAGCTGCAGCGACAGCAGCAGTGAACGCAGTAGTACCAGCAGCAACAGCGGAGGCGGCGGCGGCGGCGGCGGTGGGATGCAGCTGAACTGCAGCATGTTCTCCCTGGGTGGACAGAAAGGCATCAACCAAGACTCCATGGTTGCATGGCAGGTAATACTCAGTACCAATTATTTTCTTTTCTGATTTTCTTTTCTGGCCTCACCTCCGAGCTGTGCGCCGTGATGGACGGCCATGATCGCTTCTCTCACAAGTCCCCCCTTTCCCTTCCCCTTCCTCTCCCCCCTCCCTCCCGCCCCTCTCCCACCTGCAGTCCTTCGCAGGACCCGCCTCCGTGCTGTGCGCCGTGATGGACGGCCATGGCCGCTTCGGCCACACAGTCTCGGCTCGCGTCAGGGACTCCTTCCCCTCGCTGCTCGCCCGCCGCCTCTTCCCGCACGCTGCGCATGAGCGCTCGGAACACGTCTTAGAGCCGTCAGAGGAGCAGGGATCAAAAGACAAGTCAGAGGATCGTTTGGAGGAGCCATCAGAGGAGCACGGACACGTGGCGGAGCAGCAGTGGAGGGAAGCCGTGTGCGGCGCGTTCGAGGCCGTTGACCACGAGGTGAAGCTGCATCCGGCCGTTGATCCGCTCATCAGTGGCAGCACGGCGGTGGTGGCTATGGTTCAAGTGAGTTTGCTCGTTCTTCGCCCTCGCCTCCATCCTCGCATATCAAGATGCCTCAGATTTTGGCCTCTGCACCCCTCCTCTCGCCTTCTGCACCCCTCCTCTCGCCCTCTGCACCCCTCCTCTCGCCCTTGTCTCTCGTACCGTCGACGACTCCTGTTTTATTTTTTTCTTTACCATCGCTCCTTCGTCGCACCCATTTTCCCCACCTTCCCACCAGCACGACCACCTCTTCCTCGCCAACCTTGGGGATTCTCGTGCCGTACTCGCCAGACGAGCACACTCACCTGCTTCCTGGGATGCCACATCAGCTGCTGACGTGGCTCCCTGTCATTCTGCCACGTCAGCCAACGCAACCGGACCCACCACTACCAGTCCAGCCCACTGCCAACGTGACCAATCAGATCAACCCAGCTGTCACGCTCTCGAGGCCCTCGCCCTGACTTCTGACCACAAGTGCTCCGATCCAACGGAGGCCGCCCGGATCCGGAAAACGGGCGGCAGAGTGGAGGCGCTAGAGGACGAGAAGCACGTCCAGAGGATCTGGCTGCCCAATGAGATAGCGCCGGGGCTCGTCACCTCCCGGGCGGTGGGCGATTTCCTGCTGAAGGGATTCGGAGTCACTTGCGAGCCTGATGTTACCGTGTTACCAGTGGACGATGGAGACGAATTCGTCATCCTGGCGACCGACGGGGTACGGAAATGTTTTCTGACCAGAATCTGTGTGTACTCTCTAACAATGTCACTCCATTGCCCTATCCATCCATTGCCAAGTTCATCGTTATATCCCTGTCTCTACCCTTCATTTGTAGTCGCTAAACAAGTCTCTCTTCATTCTCCCCCCTCCTCCACCCTCCCCATCAGGTGTGGGACGTGCTCTCTCACGAGGAGGCTGTCTCCATCGTTGCCACGTCACCATCCCCTGCCACGTCAGCGGAACGCCTGGTGACGTCAGCCCAGGAGGCCTGGGCGGCCAAGTATCCCAAGGCTCGGCGAGACGACTGCACCGCTGTGGTGCTCTTCCTCCGAACCTCCCTGCCGAACCTGATCCCAGACCTGCCATGCCCTGGTCCAGGAGAAGCCGGCTCGGGAGAACCTGCCGAAGCAGGAGAGGGTGGGCAGTGCGTGGCATTGAAGAGTTCTTCAACTGGTTCGGCTGCTTCAACTGATATGACTGGCTTGACTGGTTTGACTGGCTCGACTAGAGAAGAGGTCAAAGCTGCGTGTTCCTCCCAAGAGGCTTCAAAAGGCAACAGCAGCCGCAGCAGCAGTGCCCCTTCAAATTCCCCTCCCCCACCCGTAGTTTTCGAATCCCTGGTTGGAATCCAAGGTCCCACCAGCAGCGGCAGCAGCAGCAGTAGGAGGAACAGTGATAGCAGCAACAGCAGCGCTAACAGCAACAGAGAGAGTAGCAGTGAGAGCTGCAACAGTGGAGATCTGAATGAGCAAAGCACTGATGTGGACTCAGGCCGACGCAACGAACAAAGCCCTGATGCGATGTTACGTACAACTGACTCTGCTGTCACGCCTGGTGTCACCACTGCTGCTGAAGGTTCCATGCCTTCTGATGCAGGCTCTGATGCGGCGGAACAGTGCTTCACAGAGCGCCACGGAGATGCAGTGTTCACAGATGAAGGGCTCAGATTTCACCGGAATGATACCGTTGGTGACCTGGCGGCGCTTGATTGGCAGGACGAGCAGGTCCTGGCGAAGCGGACTCTTAGGCGAGGGTGAAGTGGAGGGGGAGAAGAAGAATGACAAACAGCTGAAGCGGGGATTGAGGAGGGGTGATTGAGACGGGTTAGGAGGAGGGGTGCGTGGGAAAGAGGCGGCACTTGATTGGCAGGACGAGCAGGTTCTAGCGAAGAGGACGCTTAGGCGATTCCAGGGAGAGGAAGAGGAGGGAAAGAAGAAGAAGATTGACAAAGCTGAAACGGGGCTTAAGGAGGGATGAATGAGAAGAGTTAGGAGGAGTGGTGTGTGGAAAAGGACAAGGGATTCGGGAGTAAGCTCGAAAAGTGTGCGGTCTCTACTTTGTACAGAAGTATTTTTGGGGATTTTCAAGAAAGATATCTTGGAATTCTCAAGAATTTTTCTCCACGTTTCCAGTCTTCACTGAAACAGTCGGAGTGCAAGGGAGAAGAGTTGTGTTGTATGCTGTGAGGCAGCTCTTGACATCTTTGAAAGCCGCGTCGAGCTTGGCATACCAATCGGGAAGCGACAAGCGCGGTGCAGTGCATGCACTCTTGGCTTAGGCATCACAGGAGTGACTGGAGTGGAATGGGTTTTGCATGGTATGGTGTGGTGCAGTCCTCTTCTGCGTGCACAAGATGGGACAGACTACTTAGCTGCAGTCCTCGTCTGAGGTCTTATCTCCCGCCAGACATAAGGCTGCATGGCAGCTTGTACCGTACCATACATGCATGATAAGGTTTCTTGACGTGTGTTTTTTAATGCAGTCCTGGTTCACTCGCACCCACATGGCGGTTGGTAAAGGTGTTTTTCTTTTTAGCGCCTCCGGATCCAAAGGTGAGAAAACATGTGCCTCCGCATGCACCACTATCGTATTATCATCCCTGTGGGCAGGGCTGACGTTTAAAATTTAGGTACCCTGATGTCCACCTAAAAAAAAAAAAAACCCTGAAGGCATATTTTCCAGAAAAGCAGCACCCTGATTGCTCAGTGTTGGGAAGTTATACAGTCTGAGTGTTCAGGGTCGAGAAGTCAAGATCAGGATACGTGTACTAACGCGCTGTGCATTATCGAAAATGAACTTTCATGGCGAATCTGTTATGTGAAAGGGCGAATCTGCAATGTCAGATAAATTTTACTGTGATTGGTCAAGACCTTTGTGGTCTGACAGCTCAAATCTGTTGTGTCGGGGCCATTTCGCTGTGATTGGGCAAATTTGTTACTCCGTACGGCGCGAATTCGCTTTGTCAACGCGATTTTCTTATGACGCTGGTGCTGTGACTAGTCAAGACGGGTTTGACTCACCAGTTTGACCCTCACTAGTAAGTGATGAAGACTCACTTTATGCTTCACCACTCACTCGTGAGGGTCGAGATTCTCAATGGTGGTGGGTGCATCGGAACGACATTTAAAACCCATAGCCTGATTTACAATAACTGTTGGGGGTGTTAACACTTTCCCTCCCGAACCTGGGTGGTTACCAGGGTTCGAACCAGTTTGCCGTGAGGAAGTCGCACGCAACACAGGGAAGGATCGCAAGGGTCCCTGGCAATGACTTCGGCTATGGGTGTGCATACCAAGCACGAAATTGTAATTCAGGTCGACAGAAATCGACCAGTTCCTAGCCTAAAAATAGCCTGGCGTTCTGCTTAGACCTGGCTTTTTCTCTCCAACTAGTGCAGTCTCAATCGCGATCCGTGCACATTAGGGTTACTCACTCTGTCGCCTACGCTCATCCCTCCCATCGCGGATTCATTTCTCAACCATTTGCAACGCTCACTTCCCTCCCGTCGCCTTCGCTCTTTCCGCTCTCTCAAAGTAGCTTAGCGGAATGATTGGATTAGGGTCGTGAAAGCATACAAGTAGGATACCTAACAAAGTGTTGTACTCCCTAAGGAGCAACTCACTACAGCCTATCACAAATATAACATTTGACACACCCCCATAGGCTAAGTGAGGGGCATCAAAGCAAGCAAGGCGAGCACACGGTCACAAGACCAGTCAATGCAAGAAACAAGGCAAGCTCACGGTGGATCTCAAGGACACCACACAAATTCCGAGCACATGCAAGTGGCCACAAGGCCAGTTCAAGGGTTCACTAGATTATAAATAGGAAACACAACAAGCAGAGCAAGAAACAAGACTACAGCAACTTAGGGCCAACCTCAACAAGCCCCAACTGCACACAGAACCTGTGGTGGTCACCAAGCGCTAAGGCCTTGGTGAAGACGTCTGCAGTGTTGGCCTCTGAGGCCACAAAGTCCAGGCGGGCCTGGCCGCGTCGCTGCAGCTCTCGCAGGAGGAAGTACCTCACGTCAATGTGCTTCACTCTGCTCTCCAGTCGAGGCTCTCGACACAGGAGGATCATGGCCTTGTTGTCAGCGTACAAGGTGGGTGCAGAGCGAGGCCGCTCACCAAGGTCGGCGAGCAAGAAGGTCAACCAGCGAAGCTCCTGTGCCGCCATGGCACCAGCGTAGATCTCAGCCTCTGCGCTGGAAGTAGCCACAGACGACGACCGTGTAGACCTCCACGACACAGCACCAGCTCCCAGACTGAAGCAGTAACCCTGAGTCGAGCGCTGAGTCTCCACGTCGTCAGCGTAGGAAGAGTCGCAGTGACCAGTCAACGCCACTGGCTGAATCCCTCCAAGCACAAGCCCCACTCCTGCTGTAGTCGCCAGGTACTTCGCCACCCTCACAGCTGATGTCCAGTGGACAGGACGGTGTCTCCCAGTCGCAACAAAGCGCGAAAGGATGCTGAGGGGAAAGGCGAGGTCCGGCCGAGTACAGGTCATCAGGTACATGAGGCAGCCCACCAGCTCTGCGTAAGGACCACTGGACTCGAAGGGCTCGTCAGGAAAGGGGCCCGTGAGTCTGTGGTCAACAGCAAGAGGAGTGGGCTGTGCGGTGGAGAACTGGAAGTCGAACCGCCGAAGGACCTGCTGCACCATGTGTGACTGCGTCAGTATGATGGTGCGAGCGGCTCTGTCCCTGGTGATCTGCAGGCCAAGGTAGCGCTGCAGTTCACCCAGGTCAGTGCACTTGTGTCTCTTCTGCAGTTCCGACTTCACCTGAGCCAGCGCTGCCCTGTCTGCTGTAGCAAAGACCAAGTCGTCGACGTAGACAAGTATAAAGAAAGGAGTAGAACCCTCCCGAACAAACAGTGAAGGGTCGGCAGTCGACGGTCTGAAACCAAGGTCACGAAGCGTGGAGCGAAGAGTGTCGTGCCACTCTCGGGGCGACTGGCGGAGACCGTAGACTGGTCGGCGCAGGCTCCACTGAGTCCCAGGAGGGAAGGTGTCAGTGAAGCCAGGCGGACGACGCAGCCAGATCTCCTCGTGCACTCGGCCCTGGAGGAACGCAGTGGAGAAGTCGAGGGAGTGCAGCTCGTAGTCTCGCTGCGCTGGTATGTGAAGTAACACCCGAAGAGTAGTCATCTTCGGGGTCGGAGCAAAGGTCTGGAGGAAGTCAACTCCCTCACGCTGACTGAAGCCCCTAGCCACGTAGCGCGCCTTGAACACCGGAGGTGCTCCAGGCGGCCGCTTCACCTTGAAGAGCCACATGCCATCGACTACGTTCGCCTTAGGAGGGGGAACTGCGTCGACATAAGTGCATGTGGATCTCCAAGACGCCAACTCTGAGTCCATAGCCGCTTTCCACTGAGAGGCCCACTTCCCTGACACAGCCTCGCGGTAAGTGCGAGGAGTCGGTATGTCCAGGGCGTCGGGGTCTCCCTCAGGGGAGAGCAGCATGGCACAGACAGAAGGAGAAGCGGCTGCCCAGTACTCCAGCTCAGACTCTCTGTCCTCTAGGACGTCACAGCCAAGGGCAAACTCACCCCCGATGGACAGAGGACGGTAGGGAGGAGCAGGGACCACACGGGTAGCGTAGTCAAGGCGGCTAGCGGCAGCAAACTCAGCGACAGCGGCAGTGAGAGCGGAGGCAGACGACGGGGGGAAACGAGAGTCGGTGACAAGAGTGGCTAGGACACGGGAGGCAACAGGACGAACAGTGCGGAAGTAGTCAGTGATCGGAGTGGGGAGGGTGGGGAGAGAGGACAGAGGAGGAGACGGGAGAACGGACACAGGAGACGAAGAACGGCGACGAGACGAGCACAGGAGGGCAGTGTGGAGGTCAGTAACAGGGGACGAGTGACGAGCACGCGGGGGACAACGGGTGACCAAGTCACGACTGTCTAGGACTACAGGAGGAGGAGACTGTGGCAGAGAGAACGACCTGACTGCTGGACTGGCGTCCGGAGGAGGAAACGTAGGACCAAACACAGGAGGAGAGGAGGAAAGGCCAAGGGCCCGCAGGCCACTCACAGGTGGGAACAACTGCCGCTCCAGAGGGAGCTGTGGCGGCGGCTGCGGCGGCGGCTGCTGCCGCAGCTGCTGCGGCGGCGGCTGCTGCTGCTGCTGCTGCTGCTGCTGCTGCTGCTGCTGCTGCCGCTGCTGCTCCAGGAGGTCCAATACCCGCAGCTCCTGCCGCTCCCTCTCCAACCGCTCCTGCTCCTCACGCTCACGCCGGCGGGCAGCCTGGAGACGTGTGTCGTGGCGGTGGGGAGGCGGAGTGGACTCCGCAGACCCAGGGTCAGACTCCTCAGACTCAGCACCCCCAGAACCAGCACCTCCAGCTCCAGCACCCCCAGAGCTAGCGCCACCTGCGCCAGCACCTCCAGCTCCAGCACCCCGCGACCGAGTACCCCCAGACCGAGCACCGCCAGCGGCTGCACCTCCAGCTCCAACACCAACCGAGTCCACAGTAACCTGTCGCGGAAGTGCCGAAGGCTGCTGAGGGGACTGTGAGGAGGACTGTGGGGAGGGAGACGCTACCTGACGCGCGACCGAGGGTAGAGGGGTAACGTGGGACACACCAAACGGGGCAGGACCAGGGGGGGGCGGGGGTACCGGAGGGGCGGGAGCAGGAGGAGGAGAGGGTGCGAGGAAAAGAGGGGGAGGGGGTACCGGGAGACCTCGACAGGGGTACCGGGTGTAGTAGGACACGGACTCGTCAAACCGGACGTCACGGGAGTCTAGGAATTGGTGGAGGGGAGGGTGGTAAAAGGTCCAGTCAGCAGAGCCGACCGGGAACCCAAGGAAGACACAGTCGATGGCGCGTGCCGAGAGCTTGGCCGCAGAGGTGTCGCGGACTTGCGCAAGGCAGCCCCAGACTCGAAAGGCCGACCCAACACCAGGGGAACCAGTCCAAAGACTGGTCGGTGAAGCCTCGGGCCGCGAGACACGCGGCTGGAGGTTCAGCTGGTGTGCGGCGTAGCGAACCGCGTAGGGCCACAGAAAATGGGGCGCACGTGCGTGAATCATGGACGTGCGAGCAATGTCCATGACCATGCCAATGCGGCGCTCAGCAACCCCATTTTTCTGTGGGGACTCTGGCAGCGTCCACGACTGGGTGATGCCCTGTTCGCCGCAGAATCCAGCAAGAATGCCGGAGCGAAACTCGCCCCCTCGGTCGGAGTGGAGACAACTGACTCGACGACCACGAGTGCCCTCAGTGGCCAAAAGCCACCTGATCAGCGTAGCAGTCACCTCGGACTTCTTTGCAAGAGGGAACACTGTGGTGTACCTGGAGAAGTCGTCGACGACCACCAGAAAGTAGCGCTCCCTCCGGGACCCCTGTGTCGGGGCAGGGCCCCAGACGTCCAGGTGGAGAGTCTCGAAGGGAGCGGTGGCCGGACGAAGGGAGGAGGAGTGGGGAGTGGCGCGTAAGCGACCGGCGACGCACGGAGAGCAAGGAGGGGCAGGCGAGAGAGGGAGCGACGGGAAGGTGCGTGGGAGACCTGAGACAAGTCCATGACTGAGCATGCCACGTAGGCGAGGGAGCGACGGGTGGCCAAGGCGGTGGTGCCACAGGACGGTGCGGTGGGTGAGAGAGCGACAGGAGCACGACGCAGCGACGGGGCTGGACACAGCGACCGGACCGGACACTACTACCTGGCTAGACACAGCAACTGGACTGGGGACCTGGGCCGGAGGGGACGCAACGACCTGAGGGGAGGACGCGACCGGGGAGCGCTCGGTGTGGAGGACGTAGAGACCGGAGCGGGGCTCCTGGGTGAACGTGGCCAGAACAGCACCTGTGGTAGCGTCTGTACAGACTGCAGTCCGCCCACCCCCCACGAAGGTAACCGTGATCCCCCTTTCCTGGAGGTATCCAACACCCACCAAGTTCCGAGTGAACGAGGGGATGTGGAGGCCACGCAGGACACCAGAGGGGACCACAGGGCAGGGGAGGGTGGTGGAGCTGCGCGCAACGGCTGGTCCAGAGGTAGGATCAGCCAGAGCCACCGACACAGGTGTGAGGAGTGGGGTAAGGGTCGTGTGGTCGCGGAAGAAGCACTGAGATGCGCCCGAGTCCAGCGTGAACGTCAGAGAGGCCTCACCCGGAGGGTCACCTGACTCAGTCGCTACACAAGCACCTAGAGCAGCAACACAAGTACCTAAGCTAGACAGGCACAAGGCTACACTAGCAGGAGGCAAGCAGGCTAACCTACGAACATGCGAGCAAACAGATCCATCAGCACTAAAGTCTACATCAACAAACAAAGCATGCTGACGTGCATCGTCCATGGACAGATCAAATACATCAATCTTACGGGCTAACAGACGAGACCAGCGAGGCGTGACCGCCTAAGGGCCCCAGCGAGCCCGGTAGAGGTCGTCGAGGCGGCGGAAGCACCGCGCGGCAGAGTGGTCGTCGCGACCACAGAGGCAGGGGCTGCCCGGCCCGGTGAGGCACCAATTGGTGCAGGGGCCCCCGTCACGGCGAGGGGGACGAGGGGCCCAGCTGGAAGTGCTGCTGCTGCGGCCGGTGCTCCCTGGGCCTCCCTGACCCCACTGTGGCGGGGGACCCCAGTGCTGCTGCGGACCCCACTGCAGCGGAGGGCCCCACTGCTGGAACTGCTGCTGTGCCTGCTGCTGCTGCTGTCCCGGCTGCTGCTGCTGCTGCTGGTGCTGCACCTGCTGTGGCTGCTGCTGCTGTCCACCCCCACGGGTCGGACCACCACCAGTAGGCGGGCCTGTCTGTCCTGCACCTCCTCCAGGGCCCCCTCCTCCCGGTGCACCACCACTGCCGCCGCCGCCGCTGCCGCCGCCGCCCCCCCCACCACCGCCACCTCCACCGCCGCCTCCACCGCCTCCACCTCCCCCCCTACCGCCCCTCTTGCCGCTCTTGCCCTGTTTCTGCCAGTCTGCGGCAGAAACGGCAGCAGTGTCCTCAGAAACCGACACAACAGCAGAAGGACGGGTAGCAGTGAACGTGGGAAGTTGGGGGGCGGCACACCCCGCAAAGAGACGGGGAGCCACCGCGTCAGTGGCGGAGGCAACGGTGAGGAGGCTACTCTCGATCTTCCCGAGAGCGGTCTCAAGGAGATCGATGGTGAGCTCAGTGGGGTGCTGCTGCAGGAGCGCGTCGCGGGCAGTGGCAAGGCGGTCAGGGAGGCGGGTGACTAACCAGTGCACAGTGAGCCACAAGGGGGGGGGAGCCGCTAGAAGCTGCTCGTCGGTACAGGCCGCACGGAAACTAGCGCCAAGCGAGCGGAGGTGGGTCACAAGGTCAGACACAGTCGCAAACGAGCCTAGGTCGGGGAACACAAACGGCATCAGGATGCGACTGAGGGAGGCAGAGGAGGGGGTGGAGTAGCGGGCAACAATAGCATCCCAAACCCCCTTGGCTGTCTCCACCTGGTCAAAGTGGGCGGCCTCAGTCGGCGGGACAAGCTCCGTCAGTGTGAGGGCGGCGGCAGCGTCACGCGAGAGCCACACGTCCCTGGCCAAGACCCGACGCTCGTACTCCGCCCGGGCCGTAGGGGTCGGCTCCGAGGTGGTCGGCAGGGCGGCGGGGGACGGGGGCTCCTGGAGGGCACCAGACGCGTGAGCCCACAGAGTGGCGTTGTCATGTCGCTGACTGGTGAGGAAGCGCGTGGTCTGACGCCGCCAGGTACCGAACTCGATCGGGCGTCCCTCCGCGTCGAAACGGAGGCGACGGGACTCCATAGCGGACGTCATGCTAAAGGCGGCTGGAGCACGGCAGAGTCGGAGCTAGGAACGAGGAGGATGCTAGAGGCGGAGCTAGGAACGTGGAGGACTGGCACTGAGGGCGAGAGGCGCCAGTTGGAGAGCTAGGGAGAGAAACGGCTCCGAACACTAGGAGCGAAGGAGGCACTAGTGCGGACCCTACTCTAACCTACGCTACCGGCGGGAGAGAGAGCGGCTACCAGCCGCTGAATGGTAGTCCGATGGCAGTAGGGCTGTGAAGGGCCCCGCGCACAAGGTAGTGGTGGGGCTAGGGTTTGCAACAAACGGTGTGGGCGGTTTAGGGCGGTTGAGTGCGGTGTATGGCAGTTTGCGGCGGTTTAGGGCGGTTTAGGGCGGTTTAGGGCGGTTGAGTGCGGTTGAAGGGCGGTATAGGGCGGTTTAGGCGAGGGCGGGCGCCTAAGGCCCGAAGTGGCGGGCGCCTAAGGCGCTGGCTGGCGGGCGCCTAAGGCGCTGGCTGGCGGGCGCCTAAGGCGCTGGCTGGCGGGCGGCGAAGGCGCTGGGTGACGGGCGCCTAAGGCGCGACGTGGCGGGCGCCTAAGGCGCGACGTGGCGGGCGCCTAAGGCGCAACGTGGCGGGCGCCTAAGGCGCGACGGGACGGGCGCCTGAGGTGCGACGTGGCGGGCGCCTAAGGCGCGACGGGGCGGGCGCCTAAGGCGCGACGTGGCGGGCGCCTAGGGCGCGACGTGGCGGGCGCCTAAGGCGCGACGTGGCGGGCGCCTAAGGCGCGACGTGGCGGGCGCCTAAGGCGCGACGTGGCGGGCGCCTACGGCGTGACGTGGCGGGCGCCTGAGGTGCAACGTGGCGGGCGCCTGAGGGGCGGGGTGGTGGGCGCCTAGGACGCGAACGGGCAGGCGCCTAGGGCGCGGTCGCGAGAGCGCCTAAGGTGCGGGCTGGAGGGCGCTTAGGGGCGCGGGCTGGAGGGCGCTTAAGGGCGCGGGCTGGAGGGCGCTTAGGGGCGCGGGCTGGAGGGCGCTCAGGGGCGCGGGCTGGAGGGCGCTTAGGGGCGCGGGGGTCCTAGAAGGTAACCTAGCGTGATACCATCTCAAAGTAGCTTAGCGGAATGATTGGATTAGGGTTGTGAAAGCATACAAGTAGGATACCTAACAAAGTGTTGTACTCCCTAAGGAGCAACTCACTACAGCCTATCACAAATATAACATTTGACACGCTCCATCGTCCCCTCTATCACGATAAAGCGGGGGGGGGGGGAGGGGGGGAATGATTACGCACATGGTACGTGCTGGCTGTAGTGCAACCAATCCGAAGGGGGGGGTTCTCGGAAGAAACTTTCCTCGAAACTTCTTCTCGATAAGGTTCGATACTCTGTACAGTCAGACTCCGGAAACGACTAAGTCTGAAGCCTATTACATGTAATCAGGGGCCCCAAAACATTAAGTCTGATGCATTCAGTGATGAAAATTAGACTAGTCTGGAAATCCATTTTCCACCTAGTGCAAGGTCTGATTCGTCAGACTAATCAGACTAAATAGTCTGATAGCGTTAGCCCTGCCTGTGGGACTGGTTATCCTGCAGTGCTGCATACAGGTATGGATATGACTGTGTAGTACAAACAGCATCACTCCCAGAAGTGATCAGAAGGCTGGAAGTTGGGTTCATACAATCATGCCAATTGCATATAAATATAGAGTACATACAGGGTTGGACATAGGTAGATAGGTAGGGTTGTAGGTGGACAGCTGGCCATGCCATCACTTACATATACCTCACATACGCGCAACAGCACACGACAGCGCTGCACAGTGCTTGTTTGCAGCTTCAAGTGTGAAGCACTATTGAGAATTCTCAAAGGCGATGCAAGGGAGCAGCGGCCGATTCACTTCCCCGCCGTTTTGCGCAGTTGGGGCAGCTGCTGCAGGCAAAACCCCTTTGGAAATTCTCAAGCACAGTCACTTCATGCGGATTCGGATGGCGGAGGCAGCTACGGTAGTTTCGAGACGTCTCAAAACGAAACAAGGGCAGTAGCCTAGCGAGTCAGTCACTCGCTTCACGCAAACTCGGGTGGCAAAGGCAGCTCCGAGCCAAGTCCTAAAAGCAGTTGGCAGTGGCATGCTTCACGAGGAGTCGGGTAGAGGAGGCAGGTCCAAATGAAGCCCGGCACCAATCACAGGGCACAACCGCACGAAGGACACTTCGTTCTCCGTCGTGTGTGAGTCGCCGTCAGGGCACTGGGGCACAGGTGGGCAGCATGGGGGCAAGGGCGGGAGGTGTTAGCATGGAATAGTGCGCACTGCATGCTTCTCCAGAGCGCTTAGCTCTCTGCCGGGCGCAATTCGCCATCAGGGCACTGGGGCACAGGGTGGCACATAATGAGAACGAGCGGAAGACAACGGAAGGCCGCACCGTAAACTTCGGGCAGATGGAGAGGGAGCAACTTTCAAGGATTCCCACAGGTGAATCCAACATAGCTCATAAGAATTCTCAAAAGATTTTCTCAAGGATTCCCACAGGTGAATCCAACATAGCTCACCATAAGCTATGGTCGGACGGAAAGACCACAACCACAGGGGAGAGAGAAAGAAAGGAGCTTTTGTCTCACCGTGAACTTTGGTCTCACCGTGAACTTTGGTCGGATGGAGAGGGAGCAGGGCTGCGACTCGGTGCGCTGGCAGACGGGGCGGTTGTTGCGGCGCCAGTCCGCTCCCTCCCGCTTCACGATGTTGAGCGACCATGGGTCCAGCGCTCCCAGTGCTGCCGCCGTGTACCTGCAGGGGGGCAGGGAGACAACGGGTCATGAATTTTGAGACATTTTAGAACCAGACGGGGCGGTTGCTGAGGCGCCAGTCCGCCTCCCCACGCTTCACGATGTTGAGCGACCATGGGTCCAGCGCACCCAGTGCTGCCGTCGTGTACCTGCAGCAGGGGAACAAGGAGGGGACAAGTTTATGAGGCAGGAAGAAAAAGGATTTACTATTTCTGAGGCGCCTGGGAAGCGACCCGTGCGGTGCGGTGGTTCAAAACGCACACGGGAGGGGCAAAACGCACAGCAGTGGGGCAAAACGCACAGCAGTGGGGCAAAACGCACAGCAGTGGGGCAAAACGCACAGCAGTGGGGCAAAACGCACAGCAGTGGGGCAAAACGCACACAGGTGGGGCAAAAAACACAGCAGCGGTGCAAAACGCGAGAGAAGGAGAGGAGAGGAGGAGCATCTCAACCAGTGCAGACTACTACACTAGGCGCCTGGATTGGTTTCATTTCAGGGTGACCAGTGCAGACTGCTACACTAGGCGCCTGGACTGGTTTCATTTCAGGGTGACCAGTGCAGACTGCTACACTAGGCGCCTGGACTGGTTTCATTTCAGGGTGACCAGTGCAGACTGCTACACTAGGCGCCTGGACTGGTTTCATTTCAGGGTGACCAGTGCAGACTGCTACACTAGGCGCCTGGACTGGTTTCATTTCAGGGTGACCAGTGCAGACTGCTACACTAGGCGCCTGGACTGGTTTCATTTCAGGGTGAC